ACAAATTTATATCAAAGCAACCAAGGTGCGTCTCCCACGTGCAACGGTGCTGCGACATTAAAAGAACGCACCCTGGGTCCGTTCACCTTCACATTGTAACCAATGATAGAACAGCTCTGAATATATCACTGGATAAGGTTTATTTTTCGGCCAAGATAAGAATTACTTAAATACTCGTACATATGCCATAGCTTAAAAAACTCGAAAATGTCCTCCAATTAGGAGTAGTGTTCCGACCTTAAAATCTCTTTTATTCAATATAGCCTATACAGGCTATAATAGCCAGACCTCAAAGTGTCGACCGAAACTAGAGAATGAAACGTTGTATGTTAATAACTTTGGAAATACTTTGGAAAGTTGGCACGCATCGGAAGAGAACAACAGTCATTTCTAAGAATAGGTTACTGACAAACAGGAATGAAGGAAAAACATTTTTTCTCAACGTCTGGTAACATTACATATTTAATAAGTTTAGTTTTGATACGAGGCAATTTATGTAGAGTCCCCAAAGAGGATCAAATTCACTATCGTAATGAGACAAGATTATCTTGCTATCTACTACAACGAGATTGTAATAAAATATTTGCAAACTGTTATTTACTAAGTATGGTGTAGTATTGACACAAGGCCACGAATATCAGCTCCCCGCTCCCGTGAGAATCGAACTCATTTTTCATTAGTAATTACCTGTAATGTGGAAGCACTCTAGTTATTTATTAGTGTAGCTTTGATTTGGTACAATGGCACAGATATGGGTCACCGATTTTAGTGAGAATCGAACTCTCTACACAATGATCTCAAGTTGAGTTTGCTAATCATTGCACTATGATAAGGCAACTTACTCTACTCTGTTCTCTAAACCAGCTTCCAAACCTATGGCCAACATGACCAAAATGGGCCATGGCTAATTTCAGCTGGACTATAGTAATTTCATTTTTACTGGGTCATCAGGATATATGGGCCACAGCTTCCACAAATTGGAAGTAATTTTTTATACTATAATAATTTCATGCGCCATAGAAAAATTCTGTGTTCAAAGTGAGCCATGAGCTAAAAAAAAAAAAAACAAACAACATAACACCGACAATGATTCACATTTGTCAAATATAAAACACATACACAAAAGGCACACAACTGACGTCAGGTTCAAGGAGTACAAAACACTTGGATGAAGCAGATTTTAAGCTTTCACTAAAACGAAAACATACGCCACCCTATTCCTAGTCTCCACTATTGGCTATGTATTTTCGATGTGCTTGTAAACATGGTTTATCATAAGCATCGTTGATGATATTGGTGAAACACCAAAGCCGACCACCTATGCTAACATCCTCTATTTGGTCTCCGTAAACATTCAACAAGTGTTGACGAATATGAATAGGTGCAATTTGTTCTGCATGAAGAAATTCAGTGATACTTAATACACACTATCACGTCAGATGCCATTTTGTCAAACTACAGCTAAGCTACTATCTGCTGCAAGGATTTAAAAATAAAACAAAGATAGATAAATAGACAGATAGATCTGCCTTAACACTAACATGTACCTTTGTTGTTGTGAGCCAACATAAGTGGCATTACGTTCGGAGCAACTCTCCTGTAGTAAAGCAACAAATACTAAAACTTTAAATAAAAAGTACTTGCCAAGATTTCCTATTATACGTCTTGTGACCAGATGCCCAAAATTCAGTTAAGTTCACAGAACAACCCAATAGATTCAGTGCTAGTCAAAAGTCTTTGCTCTTTCATGAGCTTGCAGGAATCAGTCTACATTGATGTAGGGTCACCATTTGTTGTAAATTCCTGGCTTCACTTTAACTATAGTTTTAAATTTATCATAAGATGTTCTCTCAGGAATCTCTATGGTGACACTGGACCTCGTATAAAATTTCAAATTCAAAGTTCTTGAGAGTCAGATCTGGTGGCAACTGGTATGGATTTCAGAGGGATTTGATGTGGGATTTGCAGCACAAGATTCCAAACTTTCAAAGTTATCTGCTTATATGCACTTTGGCCCAAAGGGTTCTGGGGATTCAGTGATTCCTCAATTTTCACATTAATCCCAATAAGGGTACTTTAATCCTAATTTCTGCTTTCTTAATCAACTTTCCAAATTTGAAGAATTATCCACCTTCTTGGGAGTAGTTACAGGGATTACTCCTACCTTCAACTTCAACCTCCTCCACTTTACATCTCATACCATCACTCCATACAGGTGGGGCTAAATTCTCCCTCCTTAGCATTCGATCTCACCCTACTTCCCAGGACAGGCATAACTGTGACAAATCTAATTTTTAAAGCTTGTGGGCAAAACAGAGTTTTACTCTAGTCATTAATTATAATTCTCTTGATTTCTCAAGAAAGAGATAAAATTAATTCTCCATTCCTGGGCTTATCTCTGTCTAGCAAAAATATAAACTAGATCACTTCAACAACAACAACAACAGGATCTGTTTTCATAACTTCGCCCCTCAAAAAGCATTTGTTCTTTTAAATTTCCCAATTCATTTTTGTCAGCAAAAATATAAACCAGATTACTGTTGACAGGACTTGTTTTCATAACGTCTGCCCTATCGTACATTTGACCTTCATGAAAAAAGTTTGTTCTGATTTAAATTTCCCAGTAAAAGAATTATTTCCAAGTCTGTTTTCACCCACATGCCAAACTCTCGATAAGTAAAAAGAATAAACTTTAGGAGAGAAGAAATCCAGACAGCCCCATCTCCACCAAGGAAAATGTCTCCACCCTATCTTCCAGCTTATATTCTATTTTGGGTTTAACACTTTCCTGTGCAGAATTAACATCTAACCACTCCAAGGACTCAATATCAATTTAAAAAAATTTAATGCAATTAACTTTTTTGCCACTTTTCAAAATAATTATAAGTACCAAATGCTGAAGCAAGGTTTCATGTATTTTTTTTTTTTTAATTATATTCCCATTCTCTTCATGACAAGATTAAATAAAATGTTAACTCAACAAAATAACTAATTGCAGTTTCAATCAACATCTTTTGTTTTATGCAATCAATTAAAATGTATTAAATGTTTTGGCAATAACGATTTTTTTTTTTTTTTTTTTAAACAAATATGAATTTGATAGCAAACACATTTTCAAAGATGCCAAAATTGAGCATTAATTAAATTTAGATGTCACATGACCTGACATTTCATTTTGGTCATCAATTACTGCAGGACTGCTGAAACTCTCTCCCAGATCAGTAAATCACAAACAGTAATCTCATCTATGACACCCATTTCAAAAATGGCACATATCAGATTTGCTATTTGTACAGCTTTTTTTTCAAATGACAAAAATGCATAACATTTTCCCTTTAAAACCTAAAAGACAAATGTTTAAAATTCACAATCTTCACAATACGCTAATGGTATAGAAGGGCATGTTGAAATGTCACCTTTCGGAAGATGTAGATGTCAACTTTCAGTGAAAGAAAAATCAGATGTTCAAATACCACCCACTAAAAAACACGACTTTTATTCCAACCCATTAAAATTTTCAACTAAATTTTATCAAATTTTTATTCACAAATTATTGAATGAAATGTTTTTAATTGATGTGCAAAATATTTTCCCTGCAACTGTTTCAAACTTAACTTTCAAACTGAAGATTAAAATACAAATTAGTTTCCAAATGTAAAAAATATTCAAATTCACACAAATTTTTATATAATTATTGCAATCTGTCACATTTTTTGAAAGATTTTCACTCAATCTTGGTATAAATTTTAATTTTCATGGAGAATACAAAAGATTAATTTTAACATCAGTGATTTTTGCTTCCATATCCATACCTGCACAATTACCGATTTCAAAGAGATAATGAACTTTAAATTTGTGAGCGTCTTGTAATCTAATCTGCTAATCTTGTAAGCCATCACTTGTGAATTTGATGCAAGCACTTCACAATTATAGTCTGATATCAAATATGATAAGTCTGGTTTAATGTCTCTATGAACAATGCTTCTTTTGGTAAAGGGTCAAACAGAAAAGCATTCATAATATTTTTACATTCAGGTATTGTGTATAAGCTACATGTACAACCTATCCTAAAATAAAAGTTGATTTTGTTTAGCATATCAACATTTCTATGGGTCATTTAATGCCGAAATCTAAATATTTTGGACACAATTGTATGGCTTCAGCTACAAATAAAGCTTATTGTTGGTAATTCTAGTATAAAATGTATTGCTGGTCATTTTGCTTTAAATATGTATTGTTAGTAATTTTTATATAAAAATGTATTTTTATACTTTCATAGCGTTTTGTTTTTGTTAGGATCCCAGCTATGGGCAAATAGTGTTCAACTAAAATAAAGGCTCAAAAGATCAGGTTGCTGTAGTTTAAAAATAAATAAGAGGATTTTCTATAAATTTAGGATTCAAAACTTGCTGGCATTATGTTCATTTTCTTCAAAGGACCTTTTTCAATGGACACAGAATAACTGACTTAGTATACAAACTGGTTAAATCAGATCGGGATATTTATTCACTAATATCAAAGTCATTACTCACAATAATAACAAAGCAATACTTTTCTAAGTGTAAAAAAATAAATAAAAAATCTGGAAAAAACAAAAACGACAAAACAGACATTGAGATGATTTTTTTTTTTTTAAACATTTATGGTACACTTTCAAAAAATAAGATGTCTTATCTTTTTTTTTCCGCAAATGTTCACAGATTCAGCAATCAGGCTGTTTTTCTTTGAGAAAAGAAAAAGTAAAAAAATTCTTTGCATATATATATTTTTTTTTTGTTTTTGTTTTTATTTGTTTTGGCAAGTTTTAGAAGAATCTGCAGTCAGTGAAATTGGGTTGGTCCATTCAGTAAGAACGAACATAAATGTGTGTTTTTAGTCCCTGTCCAACAACCAAGAAGAATTTGGCTATGGCAGTATGGATGTGTATATATCCCCGCATTCCCCTTTCCAGATTTTCTTCTATTTAACCCCAGCCCGCCCCCCCTTACCACCCTCCCCCATCAATTTCTGGCTGAGAGTCTCTTGACATGCATAGATTTGAATAAAAGTAGATGACCAGTGGCCAGAAAGAAGAACTGAATGTCATCTGCCAAGTCTTCACAAACCAGAGGAGAGTTCAAACAAGACATTGTCATCAAAATCGTTGTCATTCTCATTGACATCACTTTCATCACCAGAAGCAAGTAGGTTGTCAACATCTTCAATATCTTCATCGTCATCATCATCGTCATCGTCGTCATCATCAACATCATCGTCATCTGCAAAATAACAAATCATATTTAAAAGAGCAGGTATTTAAAAAAAAAAAAAAATAAATAAAAGAAAGGTAAGGGGGGAGATTTTTGATGAAATCATTTTTAACTACTAAATTCTGGCTTCAATTTGGCACTTTTAGGAGATGCAAACAGTTGCATGTTTGAATTGTTTGTTTTTTTTTTAAATTAATTCTCACCCTAATCAAGGCAATAATATGACTAAGACACAAGGAGCCTCTTGGAAATGAAAGAGAAGGAAAAAACTTTAGAAAGAACTGGAAACCCAATAATAGTATAAATTTCAGAGTTAAAGCAGCCGGGACTTTAGAAGTACAGAGTTGAAGTAGATATTTAGAAGGAACTGGAAATCCAATAATCCTAAAAATAGAAACAAGGGATAAACCTCTGTTCCTGTTCAAAAGAACTGCGCAGGAGGGTGGGATTTAGTGAACTGGACGATAAGCAAACATATATACTATTAATAATAAATAATAAAAATTCCAGCATTTAGGCATAGACATTAGAAGTACAGAATTGAGGCAGAATTTAGAAGGAACTGGAAACCCGATCCTTAAAAGGAAACAAGGGTAACTTATCGAAAGACAAAAAAAAAAAAAATACCAGAGAACTTATTGATAAAGTAGAGAACTAAAAAATATGATTATGTTTATTTAACAGACATAAATGTTTCTTTCTGTTACTTATTTAAAACAACAATCAATCAATAGCCATAGTTGATAAAAACAGACAGGTTTTATATAAAAAAAATGTTTGTTTTTTTTATTCATCAGTTGGAATGATCAAAGACTATCAAAATATATATAAAAAAAAAAAAAAAATAAAAAATACCTTCAATGTCACTAGAGCCATCACCCAGAGCTGACACATGTACTATATGGCCTTCTTCATCATCATCATCGTCGTCGTCGTCATCATCATCATCGTCCATAACCTCATCTTCATCGTCGTCATCATCACCCTGGAGGCATAAACATTTAGTTATAAAAAAGATCCAAACTTTTTCACTGCATAAGGAAATATTTTTAAGTTATGCATAAAATTATTATATAAGTAATGAAGATTGGTAAAAGTCACTTGTATCTGGTTTAACAATTTCTTATATCTCACTATTGCCTCTTCATACTGAAAGATAAACTAATCCTTTACTACTATTTTACCTTCCCTAAAAAGTGAATATTTCATTTGTTTTGATGTGAAAATTCAAAAACTGGTTTATGAAGCTTTTACAAACACACACACACACCTGATCAATAAGGTTCTTAATAATAGTGAATCAGTTTGCCTTTCTCAGTAAGTGTATTGTCCCAAACTTCCTGAATTCAGTACTTGGGAGGCTCAATTTAATTTTACTGATTGTGTTTATATAGAATTACAACCGATTGACTGATTTTGTTTTTAATGGGTTGACATTTCTAAGAAAATATTTTTAAATTGTTAGAATTTTTTGGAGATAATGATTTATTAACACAAGTATTACTATTTAATCCATAGCTCAGAGACGAGATGGATTTATAACTTTCCCAAGGGGGTATTTGGACATGAATGAATTTAATGAACCCATCTAGAATTGGAAACATGTTCCAATTTCCAATTCTAAGCTGTTATCCATTACACCACCTGTGATTCCAAACTTACAGCACCTGATATTTCCAAGTGGTTACCCACCTTGGTACTGACCAAGGCTCAATGTTACTTAAAACATTGGCTCTCACATGACCCACCACAGTGTTGTGGTGGTGTGCCCATAATGACCCTCTGGAGGGTTGTTTTCCAATTTCTTTTCTATGAGGTTTATTGAGAGTGGAATTCTCAAGATCATTGGACACTAGAACCAATTTTTTTTTTCTAAAATAATTTAAATATTTTTTTTTATTTTTTGACTTTTAAATAAGAGACAAAAAATTAAAAATATCGAAACTTTTTGGAAAAAAATGTGGTTCTGGAGTGTCATTTTATATTCCTTTTTGAAATTCTGGGGTTTTTTTTAGGGGGGGGGGATATCTTTTTTTTATTATTATTACAACCATTCTGCTGTAACAATACATTTAGGTAAACTAAAAGATTGAGTAAACAGAAAATTTTAAATCGGCAAAACATGAAATTAAAACAAAAGTATACTTTATTTACTTAGGAAACAAAAATAATACCTACAACAAGAAAAAAAAAATAAAGACGAGAATTCTAATCTAATAGAAATCACATTCCTAATAAATAAATAAAAAAAAACGTCAGATTCTTAATGTCTGATTTCTTGAAAAGATATAAAAGAAAAAAATATAAAAAGCATATATTCCTATATGACTAGGAAAAGCTGAATTGATTTTTATCTTATCTCTTGTTGAAACACTCAAGGCAAAGGGAAAGATTACCTTCACATTCAGCAAAAAAATAGATTTAATTTTTGTTTTTGTATCAGCTACCCTTTTGCCCTCATTCCACTCAAACAGGATTTAAGATATAGTGTTTGGAACCTGGGGCAACAAGTGAAATGAAGCCTGGGTGCCCCACATGGTAATTTCAAGAACTGGTGTATAATCACAAAATTTGTATCCCTAAAGTATCATGCTAAATAGAATGGTATCAAATATAATGATGTACTAAGTATGATAAAGCATTTGTGTTAGGTTACAAATCACACTTTTATCACCAAATATGAAGAATGAAAACAAAAAATAAAAGAGGTTAAAGTTAAAAATTCAATTGGCATATAAAGGGTTTGTTACAATATTGTGTGAAGAAAACAAAAAAAGTAAAAAAGAATCAAGTTTCAATCATAAGATTTTCAAGAGGAGGAGAACATATTCATACAAAACCTTATTTTGACATAATATCTTAATCCCAGTTACCATGTCTTTCTTTGTTTTGTCAGATATTTTACATGCACATGAGCAAACCTATGAATAAACCCAGCTAATGTAACTAAAACACATGCTCTTTTATATAAAGAATTGCAGAAATAAATTTTTTTATTAAGGTCTCATCACTCAGTTATAAGTTAAATAGTAAGGTAGACTGGGTTTTCTAACTGAATAGTAGGCAATCTAAGTAGGTTAATTGTTTTTGTTTTGTTTAGCAGCATATCAACATCTCTATGGGTTATTTAATGATGAAATCTAAATATTTTGTAAACAATTTTATGGCTTCAACTAGATATTTTTTGTATATAATTTTAAACTTTCAGGGTTAACATATATTTAAATATATAGTTTGGAGATGAATGTATTGCTGGTAATTTTGCTATAAAGATGTAATTTTATACTTTAGTGCTGTATTGTCATTTTTCTATAAAAATATATTACTACTGGCCATTTTTTATATAAATATATTGCTGGTATTAATGTATTTTTGTACAGTATGAACTACCAAACAAAAATCAAAATACTATTTTCCCATAGCTGGGACCCTAACAGGTGCTACCACCTCAGGTCAGGGTGAACCAAAGGAACAACAATTAAGAGGTGATTCCACACTCCTCAAAACCTCCCATCTCCCGATCAGAAGCCTCACTGCCAGATGTAGTTTATCGTCATATACAGGACTGGCATTCTAAGTGAACAAATTCAAAACTATAGAGCAGGCAATGGGAAACCACTCCACCATATTTCAGAGATAATAAAGAAATGGAATCTGTCATGAGAGAAAGAGAGAGTCATCAAGATCTTCACAACTTTAGTTAATAGATTCTTTGATTTCACTAATCCCATTTATTGGATGAAGAGGGGTGGGAGATATGCTTCACTACATCCAACTCACACCAAACACAGTAAAAAGTCAAAACAATTTTCAATGCTAATTACATTCAGTACTTATGACCATTATGTGAGAAGATATTTTGAGAATTTAAAAATAAATGAGTTTCCTCACCTGATCATCATCGTCGTCTTTCAGCTTGCCAATTTCATACAATCGGCAAACGTTTTCCTCCACATTTGTGTCCCCATATTGCTGTGTCTGCACCAGGAAAATTAAAATGCAAATAAACCATGACAAGAGTGAAAATTTTAGTGACATGCTACATTCATCAGTTACAATTTATGAATCTGGGTTAAAATAGGAAAAAACAAAAAAAAAAAAAAAAAAAAAAAATCTCTATATCTAGTGCTTTCAATTATTAAAAATCTGAAAAGTTTAAATGAATTTAAATTTATATAAACTGCAAAACCAAAACATTATCTAAATCCATCATTTTCTCTATTGGTCCAAAACAAAGATTAAAATAAATAAAACCATATGCAGATTCCATATGCCCTTAATGGCAATTACATAAATTATGGGGAAAGAAGAAATCACACTCACCTCAACAACAGCAATGTGGTATTCACGGGTATCAGCAGCCAGGCTACATATGCTTCTCGACTTAACATCATAGGTAGCTACAATACAAACCACACAAAAATAGATTGACTTTTCTTACTTGCCAACTGTCAGAAACTAAGGTTATCATGTAATTAATTCCTATCGTTTAAAACTATATTCTATGAATTTCATCACAATTGATCTAATTTAAACAAAACTTATTTAAAAATGTATAATTCAAGCAAGAATCTTTATATTTTAAATTTAACACAATGACAGCAACATGCAATATAAGAAATTGCAAGTTTTTGCATTAAACCTGCACATTTATAATTTAAGCTCTGAATAATAGAGAAACAATCTCTTTACTTATTCAACCAAAAAAGAATTCTTTTAAGTTAGTGAAAAACATGTACAGCCCAATTTTAACGATGACCTAAACTACATTCAATGACAAATCACACAGCTTAAGAATGAAATAATTTTTTTTTTTTTGAAAGTCAGAATTTCTTACTTGATTTATTCCAAAAAAATATTAAGAAATTTATCTATGGTCTTAAAATTAATTTATTTAAAACTTTAAAAGTTTTAATCCCCCCCCTCCCACACACACACACAAATTGAGACAGAAGATAAAACTTACAAATACAGCTGTAATCCCTGGAATCGAATGTTCTGAATGTGGAAGCATATATGCTGTTATAGCGTTTGTCTCTTCTTCGTTCATCTTGCATATGAATTGCTGAAAAAGACAAAGTTAATTACAAAACAGAAAGTGTTTAAAAAAAAAAAAAAAAATTTGATCTAATTTTTATTTAACCAGTGTGAAAGAGAACTAGGAGGGAGAGAGAGAGAGAGAGAGAGAGACCAAGAAAGGAAAAAAAATCAATTTTGTTTGAAAATGTCCCAAAATAGTTTAATCTGATATAAAAAAAAAAAATGATGATAATTTGATTGTTAGTGATTTCATTTATAAAGTAAATCAGTATCTGTATTAACGCCAATACAATCATTAAATAAATGATAGAAAAGCAGAAAAATATGAAATCATGCAATTACTGACTATAAACTATCACAGAATGACATTTAGATTTTGGATTTTACAATTGACAACTTAATTTGAAACCAAACTAGCTGTCTGTACAAACATTCTAGTGAAGAATCCTTGTTTCTAAGACCAGAGTGCTTATCCTACTTATATTAATAGAATTTACAGATTTTTATATGAAAACTTTTAGAACTTATGGATACTATACAGTGTATCAATGATTTTTTAAGAATAAAATACAAAGTAATTCATATATTAAAAAAAGAAAAAAAATCAGTTTGTTCAATTCAAAATTTAAATATATATTGGGCGAGGGGGACTGTATTATTTTTGGTTTTAAAGAACATTGATGCAAGATACATATGAAAAAAAAATATTCCTCCAGTTTTGTCATTTTTCTCTTTTTAGTTCATGCTTATTTTGCAATTCTGAGTGCAGAGAAAAAAAAATGATTACATATTGGTTGTGGTACTCTTAGCTGCCTAACAAATGGAAGAAACATGTATTTTATTTTCAGAACCCACCACCCAATATATTAGAAGCCCGAAAGATGATAAATTAAAAAGATTGATTATTGTCTAATTAAACTATTTACATCATCTGGACTGTTGTTCTCATCTTTATTGCCATATCCACAACATTTCCGACATTGTACACTGACATTCTTGAACAGAAATGAACCTTTTATTATTCTGGATTACTCAAACCAATGCTTTTACCCGTGGCCCAGTGGATAAAAGTGTTGCTTGAGTAATACAAAAACTGACTTCACCCAAAGAGTTTGTGAGTTCAATACTTGGCCACAGCAGTGGGAACAAAAACTTTTAGGAAATAACTGAAATAGATATTTAAAAAAAAAAAAAAAAAAAAAAAAAAGAGGCATGGCACTTGAAATTAGAACAATCTAGCCCAGAGTTCAGTTCAAAATTCTAACATATCACCTGAAGAAGGCCATAGTGTACAAACGTCCGAAACATCATGAATATGGCAATAAAGATGAGGGCAACAGTGCAAAGAATGTAAATAGTATAGTTATCTCATCTCAGAAATATAGACATAATTATTGTCTATACATACAAAGGAAGCACCACAGTAACAAATGGTATAATCTTATCACTGAACAGTTGCCTTCCATTCAAAATCCCATAACAAATATTGCAGCGCATCTTCAACATTAACTAATATAATTATTACTAATCATAGTAAATTTTACATAAATTTAATTCTTATAAATAAATTATCAGTAGTTTTTAATCATCTTTTACATTGTAATAAAAGCAAAAGAGTCTTTTCTTTACTGATAAAATTCTCATTGAATCCTTTTTGTGTTTTTGATACTGAAGGTTATTTTTTTATTGTTCTGATGGACAACAAAGGAAAAAGCAATAACATACTTCCATAAATGATTTCATTTGTATAGTTGAATGTGAGTTGACACTGGTCAAGACTTGGTACTGTGTGAAGCAGGCGGAATGTCCTCATGTCCCACTGTACAAAAACATCAAGTTAAGGATCCACAAACAGAAAACAAAATATTGAAGTTTGAATTACCTTTCATATAAGATTTTTGGATATTTTACACAATATTGGACTAACTTTGAGATATTTGCATATATTCAGATTGCCTAATGGTCATAAATTATAGCATTATTAGAATTCTAAGAAACATTATAACATAAATGATAGACAATTATTAACACAAGTGTTAGTGTTATAAAGTTTTCATGCCAAGTTTCACTTAAGTATTACTTTATAGAAAATATTCCTATAAGAAATAATTAACACAAAATGAATTCAAAATCTCAAAACTGCTAAATGAAAAAAAAAAAATGAACTTTAGTAAATTTGATTTGTATTTACAAAAAATTAAAAAAAAGATTAACATTAAAAAAATCTTTTTGAAGCAATTAGAAATGTGCGTTTCTGTTTCCTGGAACATAAGTTGATAATTGAAAAGTAAAAGAATAAAAAGATTTGAAAAGAGGCAAACAAAAAATACTGATTGAGAAAAGGATACCACTTCTGAATTGATGATAATTTCCAAACCCATAGGATGAAACAGTCCACTGATGGCTGCATTAAATTTGTCAAATTTATGAACTGGTTTGCCAACCCTTACATCCCACAAGACACCATCATTGAGAACAAGGTCATCTGAAGGGTCAAAAGTAGCTCTGTTTGATGTGTAATAATTGGCTTTGTCTTGGTCAAAAATTTCCATCAACTGCTGACCTGTACTGATGTCATAAATCTAATAAAAAAATATATATAAGAAAATTGATTGGTAAAAATGTTAGATCTACATTCACAACACAAGCTAAATGGACAATATGATAAGATTTACATCTTAATGTCCAATGAGGTTTTCATTAAAATTTTAGAATTGTTATATTGCCCCATTGCAATTTATAAATAGAACATGAATTGATGTTTTAATAAAACACACACATATATATATATATATATATATATATATATATATATATATATATACATACACACATATATATATATCTCAATCTTCCACCCTCAAATTTATCTGTCATCAGCAATACAAATAACCTGAATGACACATGCTGATTAGCTTTTGTAGCCTGATTGTCAAGGTGATTTCCCTGTCAGAAAGGCTTCCAAGGATATGAGATGCAAGTTTAAATCATCTAGAAAGTTTTTTTTTTTTTTTTCTGTTTAACAATAGAATGTAAAAAAACACCAAGAATTGCAATAAAAAATAACAATAGAAAAATTAGACATAATAATAATAATAATAATGCTTTATTAAAAGAAACTTGAAAACCTCAAGTCTATAAATTCATAATCATCACAAAAGGCAACCATTTATTGTTCTTGGCTTAAAAAATATTGTTATTCTGCTTTGTTTTAATGCATATGTTATGCAGTGTTCTACTTTTGGAAGGCAACATTTTCCATGTCTTAAACAGTTCAGCATTTCACTGGCATTTATTGGAATTGAACAGCCTATCAGAATTTTCCATACTAGCAAAATAGAGTTAAAAGATATTGAAAAAATGTAATCTATTTTTTTTTCTTTCAATATTTTCTATTAAGTTCTCCAATGGGAATAAGGAATGTAGTACACTTATTGTTAAGTAAACAGAAACCATTAATTGAGTGTTTTAAAACCAGTAACAAAAAAGCCAATGTTTTTTTTATGCATGAAATGTTACACATACTGTATATAAATTGATGCAAATAAATATATTAATATATACTAACAGGGGGAAAAATACAACACCCTGAATGTGTTACAATTTACTAAAGATTAAACATTCATATAACTAAATAACAGTAAATAATCATATATACAGATCAAAAGGAGCACAGGTTCCAACATAAAGAGTGTATCAACAGTATTTACATTCCATATTAACACAGCTTGACAGAACAAAGTTAGGATTGTCTGTTAAGGAAAGTATATTCTTCTGCAAATCTATTTCTGCTAACTTTGGTTTTGTACCCAAATCCTAAACAGTCATTTTTTTAAAGGATTTTTTCATCCAACGTTATTTCTAATTACTCTAAACATTATTTTTAGTGGATAATATCCATATTAATACAATGTATATCTGCCTAATGTGTTAACACAGGCCTGTACTCTGACAGGTATATAATCATATATTATTCCTTGACTATTGCAACTTGATTAAATACAAAAAGAATTTTAGGTTGCTAACTAAACAAATGAGATAATGTCCAATCATTTATGTTCAATCAAGCAGAGGTCTGGTGATTCATTTTGGCCACCTTTAGAGACATGCACAAAGGCATTGTGAACTAAGTGGAATTCTGATGAGAGGCACACATACCATTTACTCTGATCTGTGACATAGAATATGAATGCTCAGCTACTATTGCCTTTATAATACATCTTGGCAAATGTCTGTACTATATGGTGATCAGACACCTGGTCTTCTGACATAGCAAATGTTCATTTGACCACTGTAGCCCCCATCAGAGCACCACATTATGACTAATACACACAGCAATACTTTGCAAAGGCCCAACCTATCTTCACAAATGATTAATTCAGCAAAAGGAGCAGGTGTGCATATCTCCATGATATGACATCTGCTTGCACTGAATTCTTTCACCACACTGAACCATAATTGCACAACATACATCACTATCTAAAGGTACACTAAAGGTATCTTTAGATGGTACACTGGTTTGAGTTTTACTATGTCACAAGTTGGTTTTTGATTGATTTGTTTTTCATGACTTACTTATCAACTTTTGCAGGTTATTTAAAGTCAGAAAATATTTTTAGATTCTAAAAATGTTTTGGAAATAATGATTCAAAATATGAGCAAAGAATTTTAAACAGGATATATCCTACCTCCCTAGTGTACACACACACACACACACACACAGTACCTATGTCAAAATCAATATCATCCTTCAGAGCAGGGACATTTTTAATTTCCCATCAGTGTATATTTAGAGAAACTTAATCATAGACAAATATCAACATGTCCAGTTTTAGTCAAGGTGTATCATTCTAAGTTTCAAGTGTATACATGTAACTAGTTTTGCACAATTCTTTTTTTTCCTTTTCCATTTTCCTGAATAGACTGTTTTCTTAACCAAAAGATTGTCTTTTTGTTGCTGACAACAGTAAAATGAAGTTAGGGCTCCTTGATTTAAAAAATTAACTGAAGTTTTTATTTATATATATATATATATATATATATATATATATATATATATATATATATATATATCATGTTTTAAAATTAGGTTATATAAATTTTTTTTTTTTAATTTTTGACAATTGGAAAACGTTCATGAAAATAAATATGTTTCGAAATATATCCAATAATGCATTTTGCCATTTAAGGCTATATTGGATCTGAGAGCAAAAGAATGTATTTGTGTGTAGGTTTTAAATAATGAAATTATTACTTTTTCCTTTTTAAAAGTCAATCATTTTTTTTGTTTTTTTTTAAGTCACAAGAAACACCAACTTGGTTGGGGGGGGGGATAACATTTCATTATTCAAAACATACACACAAATACACATACACGCATTTCATTTCTTTTGTTTTTGGATCTGATGAAGCCTTAAATGGCAAAATATATTGAATATATTTCTAAACAAATCTACTTTCATGAACATGTATATATATATATATATATATATATATATATATAGATGAATGAACAAATAAAATTATACACAAAAAGTTTGATGTTCTTTCCATTGTGACCAAAGTTTAAAAAAACAAAACAATCTTTACTTTTTGTGATTACCAACAGATGGAAAAAAAAAATTAATGATTGTTTTGGAAAAGTCACCAAATGACACATTGGTGAGTAATTATAGCTGTTTTAACTTCCATAGTTTACAGTGAATGGAAAAATACTTAAGTCTTGACTTAAGCCATCAACACCTGTCATTCATGATTACTTAAATCAACCCATAACCCCACCTTAACCTCTGAACCATACTGATGGCTAAAACATGCTCACCATTAAAAAAGGTATTTTTTTTTTTTTTAATATAAAAGCAAAGATTTTTTTCAAATTTCAATTAAGCAATTTTAAAACTACTTTATTTGAATATATATATATATATATATATATATAAAATGCTCCCCACTCACCAAATGGCTTAAAAATATCTCCCAAGGCTTATATGCAAAGTTAGGGTATCTGGTAAGCTAAAATTTAACTAGGCATTGTAGAATGCTCATATTTGTACATCATCTAACACTATAAATCTAATATTAAATTTAGAAAGGAAGGTTTTTATATGCCATCAAACTTGATATTTTTCACCAAATCTTCTTCATTTACTATTTTAGTAGATTTTAATTAGTTTTTATTTTAAATTATCTATTATCAAATATGATGTGATTGTCACTAAGAATAAACACTAATTTTGAAACAATCTGATTCTACATTTAAGTCTTTCCATCTAAAACAAAAAACTTATTGAAGTTGTAAAATGTTATTTTATTTTAAATTGAGTGCCAAAACACTACTTTAAGTCTGTTCATATATTCAGCAAAGGTGTCAAAACAAAATTGAAACCAAAACAAAAATTAGTGAATTGTATAGACTCAAAGTAATAATACAGATAATAATGAAATGACTATAATAAATATATATATACTTACATAGGCTTTTTCTTCTCTAGTACCTATCAATTTGTCTTGGACCTTTTTACTAAATTCCATGTAATTGTCTTCAGGAAAACTTTTCCTTGGAGTGTAGGAGGGGAAATTAGAACTAAAATCAAATAAAAAAAATTAGTATTCAGAAAAATTCAAAAATATGAATTGCATAATAAACATACTAATTACCAAAATATCATTAATTTTATGTGTGATGAAATTCTCTCCATGATTGTATTTATTTTGTTTACAGTTTAGTTAGTGCCAAAAAAAAATAATGCATCAAATATTTTTCATTTCTTAAACCATAATCAGTTAATATGAAAAAAAAAAAAAAATCCTCTCCTAGAAAAAAAATGATGCATGATGTTTTTTTTTTGTTTTTTTTAATTAAAAAAAATCATTTACATTAGAAAGAGTGTTTTGAGCCACAAACTGCTTTTAGGAGCAATAAATCTGTTTTGTATTGATTATATTTGCGATCTTGTAAGCAGGAAAAAATAAATACAATTGTCTTTCAATAGTCTTTTCATGTACTTACATTTTAACTAGTAAACATGTCCTACATAAGAATGTTAAAAACTTTAATAAATAATTTGGCTTTAATGAAAACTAAATTTCAATACTCACTTATTTTCAAGTCTGTCAGCACTTTTCCACAGAGAGGACAATGGTGTACCCCAGGAAGCAGAAGTAACAAGAAGGTTGCCCTCCTGTAAGAAGGATAATCTTTACAAAATTTTGAAGCATTAAGAAATTCTAAATAAAAATTCTGACCACCGATATAAAGTGACAAAACCATTTAAGTCAACTTAAAAAAGCTACTTAGAAAATATTCAATATAATTAAACTGACATGATCAAAAACGCATAGAAGGCAAGTTCAAAAATATCCTGTTATAATTGTGCTTGTCCCTCCCTTCATTACTTCGCACGACCGCTATGCCCTGCCAACACCTCATAAATGGACTATTCCACATTTTGATCACTTGGTAAAAGGGGAAAAGGCATTACTTAGTTTCAGTGAGAAAATGAAAAAGTAGGTAAGATAGAAGTGGAGAGAAAGAGAGAGAATCAGATTAGGCTGATAAGAACATATACTACACTTTGATCTCAATCAAAAGACCGAGAAGTGATTTATTTACTTGAGCCGGTCCAAGCTAGTCGTAGGCGTGAGCGATGATGACTGCAATAAATTTGCCATTTTTCAGATGCACATTATCGAACAACAGAAATCAAATAAGGCAAACATCAAGAAATCAATTACAATAAATTAAATAAAATAACAAATGTCAGTAAGACAGGGATTTGGCTAGAAAGAAAGAAATAAGAGAAGATAAGTGTTTAATATCTCCTGCCAATGCCTCATAAATAATGAACTATTCAGTTTTGATTTCATAAAAAGATTGTGGGGAGACACTACTTGATTTCAGTGAGAAGATGAAAGAGAAGTGTTTAACAGGTATTTCAAATGAAAAAAAAATATCAATTTCAAATCTTTTCTTCATTTGTACCCCCTTACTTCTTAAAATAACTACCAGCATTTATATTTATGATTGTTATTGCAATATTTTGTTAAAGTTGTAAAGCTCAAATATCTAACGATGCAATAGGGCAATTTCTCCAGATATCGTATTGCCATGTCATGCGGTTTCATTTGTACCCACTTCTTAAAATAACTACCAGCATTCATATTTATGATTGTTTTGAAATATATTGTTAAAGTTGTTAAGCTCAAATATTTAACGATGCAATAGGGGAATTTCTACTGATATTTTATTGTTGAGCTTATTCAATCATTAACTTAAGAATTAAGATTCATCATAAAATTTCAATAGGAAAACAGTGAAATTTTCATGGGTCTTTCTAACCTAATTACTTATAGTAAACAATTAAAAAATTCATAAAAATTCAATGGTTGTTAATGATTTTAGATCTCCAAAATAAAACTTCTAAAGATTGATAGTTAAGCTATAAATACACAAGCAAAGAAACTGAATCTAATATATATATAGAATAAATTTCTATCAATATGATTTCATTTTTACCTTAGTCTGTCGGCAGTTAGTGATAGGTGATGTGTGACAATTGTAATTTGGCCCTTCCTGAAAAGAAAAAATGAATCAAAGAAACAAATTATAATGAAAAATAATGGGGGGAGGGGATGAAGAAAGTAGTACTATTAATAACATTTACTAAATATTAACACATTGACTTCCAACCACAAGGTATTTCATAGATGGCAGTTTTTATTATAAATACCAACTACAGTTGGTATGTTCTGATACATTTTCATCTGTTGGTGCCAACAACGGACTTATTCACAGTGATACTTTTAATGTGAAAACAATATTAACACTTTTGTTGAAACTAGGATTCAACTCGTAAAAAAATGAATATTTCCTAAATTAGCTATTGTTAAGTTGGCATTTAAAGTCAGATTTTCTTAACTGATTTCTGGCAATGAATATGTTAATCAGAAGCAAAGAAATAACTCTTGCATAATATCCACCAAAATACTACACCATTTCTGTAAGAATAATGATAAAATAATAATAGCCTTTCTCACCAAGGTCTACTCTTCATTTAAAATCAAAAAAAAAAAAATCTTTCTTCTTATATCATCTTTACTTAAAATGTAATCTAATTATAATTTAACTGATTAACACTGTATGGAATACACAAAGGAAGTAGCATAGTGAAATTGCTAAAATAAAGCCATCTAAAATTTCAAAATCTTTAACAAGTTACTCTTACTAGTTATAATTAAAACAAATTTATTTACATGAGACTAAATAAAGACATGACCAATTAGAGAAAAAATAAATAAATACGAACCTCTCCAGTCTGTATGTTAACAGGTTTCAAATCACCAGAATAAGTTCCCAACAAGAGAAAATTACTTGAAGACTACATTAAAATAAAAAAAATAAATAAAAAAAGGAAAATTATATATCTCGGAATAAAGACAAAAGGAAATCTTATCTTATGTGTTTTCCCCCTATGATGGTCTTTATCAAGGCAAATTTAAGGATTTTATTTTGCAACAACTATTTATAAACAAAAGTAAAAATGTTAGGTTTTTTCAACATTTTTAAATTTAAGAATACTCAGATGTACATCAAGCTAATTGAAAAGTCAAGGTAACTATGGGGGATGCTAAGTGATATAATTTAATGCCTAATAAACAAAAGTGAGTATAGGGTTACATCAATGTTAATTCACTTATCTCATCTGCACATGAGCATATAAATTACACTATGACAAACTTTTTTGATGAATAGCTTCCCTCCCTCAGTTTGTCCAGAGTTTCACAATTCATGACTGCATTAGTTCACAAGCAGCACATTTTGCATCCAAAAAACACAGATGCCATCAATTTCTTTGCCAATTGAAAAGAATGTTTTACTGCATGAACTGCTTAATCTGAAAATACCAAGGCAAGACTATCATGTGTTTGGTTCCATCAAGCAGCATTTATAATGGAAACAGTTTCAGACTGATGACATTACTGTTGCAGAAGTGCAAAAGCAGCTCTATTGCTTCAACCCTGTTCTTCAAAGAGGTGTACAAATAAGGTACTGATTTATTTGTGTACCAATCTCAATAGTAACTAACTTAATACTAGTAATATAATACAAAATATTTTGTTGGTATTGTAATAAATATATACTGGATAAGTAAATGTTTGTACTGTATTTTTCAAATTAAAAACAAACTCTCTACACACAAGTCTAGTTAGCAAGGTCGAATTACTGCTAACCAGACGCCCCATCTGTAGCTAAATGGTATAGCACATCAGGCTATTTGGCGGTTCTGTGTAGGATACAGGTTCAATTGCTGTCAGAGAACACATTTTCTATGAAATTTCTCAGACATTCAGGCCGGTAAATGTTGTTAATACTGTTTATTACAAATAGAGCATTTACTTAAATATTTGTATCTATAAAAATAACATATAACCAAAAAATACATTAAAATATTGGATAAGTAAATGTTTGTAGTGTATTTTTCAAATTAAAAAGAAAAAATCTCTTTGCACATGAGAAATTTGAAGTTATTTTCAAAGAAAAGGAATTTAGAAAAATAAAAAAAATTGACTTACAATAAATGTGCAAGAGGAATATCCATCCTCATCTGGATCTCGGAATGTGCGAATGGGTTTGAATCTTGAGGAGAAAAATATTTACATCAAATGTGCATCAAATAAGCTAAAATTGTCGCAACAGGTTTGTTAAAAAATAAAATTCAGAATCACTATCATTAAATGTAAAAAATTGAAAATAATTGCAAATCAGTAATTTTTTTTCTAAATTAGATATGTTAATTTTTTTTTTTAAACATTAAAACTCAAATTGTAATATCAATCTCTTAAGATAAATAAAAAACAGTGGGCTTGTGGCAAAGTTGATTTTTGCAATTCAAAGCAAGGTTTTAAAAACTTCCAATAAATAAAACAAGAACAAGGAAAATGTTTACTAGCAACTATAAAATCTGAATTGTATTAACAAAGGAAAACAAAACACAAACTTCAGTGTTGTTTTGACTAAATGTTAAGTAATTTAAATGCAATCTAGCATTTTTAGTAAAAGAAAGTGAAATGATTAACTCTTTAGCATTCAACATGCCCCATAAAAATGAATCTCAAAGTTCAAACTGCCATAACCGCCCCCACCTCATATATATTCTGCCATAATATATGACAACATCATTGCAAATAATTCAGGCTGTCATGCAAACAACAAGATTTTGAGAGCCAATATTTACAGAGGCAAGTTTGAGCATGTTGAATGCTAAAGGGTTAAATCAGTTTACAATGGAATTCAAACAGCTTTACTACTGTATGATTCCATTTTAGTTTAGTCACTAGAGAAAAAAAAAAAAAAACATCTTTTATATTTGATTCGGATTTAATCTAAACGAATGGGAAATAATTCACCATTATTCGGAAAATAAAGGTTTTTGTTTTTTTTCATAAATAAAACACTCACCTGCTGTAGACATATTTTTTGTGACATTTAAATCCATCAATTCCACCAAATTTTGGGAAAATCTGAAAGTAGAAAATAAATAAAAATTACTTGCTAAACACAGCTGTTTGAGGTTTCCTATAGCCCCACTGAACTTAAATAAAGTCAATTCAGGTTTCCTATGGTAAAAATTTTCTTTCCCAAGTGAAAATCATCACAAAAATGGCAAAAGTCATTTTGTCACAGCTTATTTTCTCTCAAAAAATGGATTTTCATACTTTTCTGGGGGTAAAATATTGAAAAATGACTGTTTTATCATCACCTAAACTAATATCAAGGAAACTTTTGATCTGAACCCCATGAAACTAGGTATTTTCTGAAAGCAAAAGATATAGTCTTTCATTTAAAAGTAAAATTGGCTGGTGTAAATGACTCAAAATTTTTTTCAGTGGGTAAAATGTGAAAAAAAATAGTGAAAATTTTGCATTTTTTTCTTGTTCTAAACAAATATTTTCCCCATTAATGGGAAATTAAACATTTTTTTTTTTTTTTTAAATCAGAAAGCCTAAATCATAATCAAACTATTTCAGGCATAAAATTGAGAGTTTTGAAGGAAATCAACATTCCTAGAGGTTCAAAATGCGACAAAATCCATTGGTAATTTTCAATTATATGACTGCCAAGTGTTAAAAAAAATTGACACCCGGCCACGGAAATCTTTATTAAAAGGCAAAAGATTTATCTGCAATTCCTAACCACCTGAAACCAAAAGGTTTTTTTTTTCCAAAAAATAGCAGCGATAAGAAAAATTAAACCTAATTGAGCCGTTCCTTTTATTCAATGATCATGCCAAATGAAAGAGAAAGGAATGAATTTTGAATGTTATTTTGAAGTGAAAATACATATTTTTTCATAAAAAAAAAACGGAGATATTTCTCAGAAAATTGGGCATAATTTCTTAATGCTAACCGCCGAGTGACATTTTCCACAGCCAAATCGAAGATTAATTACCAGTGAATAATTCCATGTGCAAACAATAGCCGTCTGGATCCTATAACGTCGCACTAAAAGGTCCAGAAGTTTACTGATCGATCGAAAACCTGTTGCACATAATTGTATTTTTTCTCGGTCAGTTTCCATTATTCCATCTTGATATTATCATTTTCGGACAGCCAAGTCATCAAGGATTCAGGAAAACACTTTGGCATAGGTTTTCTTTAAGAACTTTACATTCTATGAGGTGTTTAAAATTTTACTGATGAATGAGATTTTTTGCCGAATATTTGGTTTACACGCCATGTTGGATTTTCCTATATGACAAAAACAAGGCTTTTAAACAGCCATGTAAGAAAAATTTGCTAAAGTACATAAACCAACAAAATATAAATCAACAATTTTTCCTGAAACCATAAAAACATATAGCTCATAAATTTGATTAAAATTAAATGCAATTGAACTAAGTAAAATGATAATAATAATAAAATTCTGTGTACTGATGTGGTTTGTTATCACCAAATAAAATGTCTTAATATATCTTTCAAAATATGGATATTAGTCATAATGAGAATTTATATGAAAATATAAATTACACCAGGATACATGGACATATTCACTAGGAAATATTCAGAAAAAAAATACATCAACTTCAGTTAATATAGTGTGTGCAAAGTACGATGGATAAAATGTCGTTTAAATTACACAAAAATGTAAATAACACTGACATCTCATTTTAGCAGACATATTTACTAAAATTACAGAAAAATATCTTGAAATACTAAAGAGTACATTTTAAAATCGCCATTGGCATCAAACATGGCCTCCACTTCGGAATCTCCTGCATCTCTTCTGGAGGATTTCCTTGTTTAAGTTGGTGAATGCTGCCAGAATCTTTGCCTTCCGTTCATCTTTAGTGTTATAAGAAGTTTTGTTGGTCTCTCGTTTAACTTTGCCCCCACACAAAATAGTCAGTCTGGGGAGTTAGGTGGCCAGATGTAAAGGGTGATATGGTAGCAGAAATTGTCCGATTTCTCCTGCTTGTGTGACATGGTGCAGAGTACTGTTGCCAGATATAGGGTCTTCCAGCAGCCACCCTCTTGACCCAGGGCAGCACTACCTCCTCAAGATACAATGTAAGTCTCCACATTGAGGCCATGTGCAAAGATGAATGGAGTCATAATGTCGCCATCATGAAAGATCACTCCAAACACCTTTGAAATCATTATTAGACTCATCTAATGCTTTCTGAATCCTTTGTACTGTCCTCAGATTGATGCCCAAACATTCTGAAATGCTTGTATTGAAGCTTCCAGCCCGAATATCAAGCTGTACAGCATGCCGTTTCCAAATTTCTGGCAGAGGGAATTATGTCATGGTGCTCTTTTTCTCATAGATAGTTATTTAATTGTCTAAATGTATAGACATGTATAAACTTCCAAAGAACTACATTGCTATTTTCCCTAAGCTACTCACTTAATACCAAGTGTGTGTGTGTGTGTGTATATATATATATATATATATAGGCAACCACTCACTTCTGAGTATCAAGATTTTTATCCTTTCCCATTAATTATTCCCTTTCACTCCCCCTGGTGACAGTGGCAGAAATGGTTGTGAATCAGGTTTTGGCAAGGCCATTCACATGAATTTGATTTTGACAGAAAACTCTGCATGACAGAGAAGCTCACACACTTGGCCAGAAGCACCTCTCTTGCAGCACAAAGAGAGGCGAGAGATAAAATGAACATTTGAAGTAAGTACTGATTGTGGCACTGGGAATCCAATAAAACATAACCAAAATGAAGTGAATTCAGAAAACCTGGTAATTCAAGGAGTTGCACCACAAAGACAATCTTTTCTAGTGTAATTGTTTCACATTCTAAATAAGGCAGCCACTATACTGACCGGTAGATAAGGCAGCCACTATACTGACCGGTAGATAAGGCAGCCACTATACTGACCGGTAGATAAGGCAGCCACTATACTGACCGGTAGATAAGGCAGCCACTATACTGACCGGTAGATAAGGCAGCCACTATACTGACCGGTAGATAAGGCAACTATACTGACCGGTAGATAAAGGCAGCCACTATACTGACCGGTAGATAAAGGCAGCCACTATACTGACCGGTAGATAAGGCAGCCACTATACTGACCGGTAGATAAGGCAGCCACTATACTGACCGGTAGATAAGGCAGCCACTATACTGACCGGTATAAGGCAGCCACTATACTGACCGGTAGATAAGGCAGCCACTATACTGACCGGTAGATAAGGCAGCCACTATACTGACCGGTAGATAAGGCAGCCACTATACTGACCGGTAGATAAGGCAGCCACTATACTGACCGGTAGATAAAGCTTTCTATGCAGTTTCAAAATGTGTAAAGTTTAAACATTCATCCTTTATGAATTTTAATCCCCAATTTCCTGATCCATTCACATTTAACCAGTAAATTGTAGCAGATATATAAATTAGTCATATATGCTATATACTCAGACTGAAAACAATTTAAACAGTGAATCAATATAAGGAGTTCAATTTTTAACATTGCCATTACTTTTGAAAATTATATTTAAATTATATAATCATTTAGATATTTAGATACGACAGAATAATTTCAAAAGGGACCAAACATGCCAGAATAAAAAAATAAATCAAAATAAATATCTCTATATTAATAACAGTAGATTTTATTTTTTGTAGAGACTCAAAAGTCTAAAAACAAAAAATGAAAACAATTTACCGTGCATCTGTGAACTCGGGCTGTTATACAATTGGGAGCAAATCTGCTGCCACGGGGATCAGGACATTTATGTGGGCTGTAAAATACAAAAAAAAAAAAAAAAACATCTTTTTATACTTTGTTTCACGTCAGTCTGATTAAAAGGTCACCACAGGTCAATTTAAAAATAAAACTGCTATTTCTGTCAAAACTGCAAAAAGGGAACATCTTTTTACATACCACAAATTGCAGCAGAGGTGTCAATGACCAAATAGCAGTACAACAAATAATAACGTCTACAATTTTAAACATTTTGATTTCCAGCTATAATCAAATTTCAGATTACTGTATTTTAGAGTATATCGGATACAAAAATCTGACCCTCAAAATTACCAGGACTTACATATTGTTACCACTATAGTCTTAGAAATGCTTTAGAAAATTCAAATTCTATCTTATTTTTTCAAAATATTTCATATTAAATTTAGGGTGGGTTGGCCACGCCAATGCATCTTATAAGTTGGAAACTATAGTGATTGAATTATTAGTATAAAGTTGGTGATTGGTTGCTAGTAGGTATGTTGTAACTGGACACTAGTTAATCAGGGTAATGTAATTCAAAGATGAAAAGGAGATACATGGCATTGGCTACAGACATCACTAAAGGTCACCACAGGTCAATTCAAAATTAAAACTGCTATTTCTATCAAAACTGTAAAAAGGGAACATCTGTTTACACATCACATAAACTGGAGGTGCCTTAATTCTAGGCATCTTTTATAAATGTTTCCTTCTAAAAAAAAAAAAAAAAAAAAGTAGCAGACTTGTCAGTGTGTAAAAATTGGAAACAAATGTAATCTACGTTCACTTGACCACAGAAATAATACAGTTGACAAAAGAAAAAGGTTCTTGACTGAAAAGAATTCACATACAATAATTAGATCTTGATACTATAAACATTATTCTTTATATAATCTTTGCGAGTTGATACTAATTTCACTGTTAAACAAAAAATAAAAATACCAGGGATTACAACTCAAATATGTGTATACACTTATAAAAATAATATTTATAATAAGATACAATAATTATGCAAGAACAGTGTGTGTGTGTGTGTGTGTAAGATTTTCCCAGGAAAATCAGAAAAAAAAAAAAAAAAAAAAAAATTCATTTTAGATCTTATATTTTTTTTTTATATAAATTTACTTTTACAATTAAAAAAAAATTTTAAATTTAAAAAAAAAAAAAAAATATAAGACCTATAATGAAATTGTTATTTTTTTTTAAAAAACAAAAAAAAAAAACCCCCAAAAAACAAAGGTAAAATAAAATTATTTTCTGAATTTTCTGATGCAAAAATTCTAGTAAAATGAACATTATTAAACCTATTTAAGATTGTCAGCATCTTTTTAAAGCCATTTATATTAAGTAGAGTCAACTTGTGTGATTGTATCCATTTTCAATATTTTAAAAATCCAGGAAAGGGTACATAGTTTTGCTAGTCTTTACTAACAGCAGACTAAGAAAGTCAATGGTATAATTTAATAAAACAAATCTTTACTATTTTCAAGTAGTAGTTTATTTACAAGTTTATTATTTTAATTTAAATTAAACGAGCATTAAAAGCATCAGATCAAACTACCTTAAATTAGGTAGGGTGCTGTACTTACGTGAAAAGTGACATTGGAGGACAAGTGACCATAGGGTTTTTACATAAAGCATGTTGCTTCCTGAGATATTCAGTGACTATGCCATCCAAGGTCACCTCATTGTCTGTGTGATGTTTATGAAGAATTTTCTTTATGTTCAATTCATCTTGTCTGTCAGTAATATACTGGGATTTACCACCAGCTGATGTACCAACCTGAAATAATCAAAAGATTACATAGAAAACAGAAAAATATTCTTTTAATCAAAATCCATAATGAAATAGGATTACAAATAAGAATTATCTTGGTGTCACACAGAAATTATAAATACAATAAAGTCACTATTTTAACTCGATTATTATGCACAGAGATATTCATTAAAAATATTTATATTACAAGCTTTAAATGTCTATATCTCTGAGATGAAGTATTATGATTACTTGCATTATTTACATTACTTGGACTGTTATCCTCATCTTCATTGCCATATTCACATCTTGAAAGTTTTGAAAGTTCTCCACTGCCTTAGCTGAGTATTTAACTCACACTCTTTGGGTCCTGTCACTAACTACCGTCTTTATCCACTGTGCCTTGTGTCCTCAAGGACACATGGCACAGTGGATAAAGGCATTAGTTAGATTCAGTGACAAGACCCAAAGGGTGTGAGTTCAATATCTGACTAAGGCAGTGGAGAACTTAGAGAGAGAAGTAACAGGAGATAACTGATAACTGACATCCATTAAACATGGCACGTGGAAATAGAACAGTCTACCTCAGTGAGCGAAATAAAGGGTTCAGTTCAACATTCCAACCACCTGAAGAAGGCCGGAGCGTACAACAGCCAAAACATTGTAATAAATATGGCGACAAAGATGAGGACAATAGTCCAAATAATGTAAATAATGTACATAATACCTCATCTCAGAAATATAGAAAATCTTAATTCCTGTTCTCTTATTGTTCTCTCTCAATGTTTTCTTTTTCTCATATTCTCTCTTACTCAGTAATCCTTTGCATTTCAGTGAGGAAAAAAAACCCAAAAATAACAAAACTAAATCTCAGACAGTAGCAAATGAACATGGCCTGATAATCAAGTGTCAAGAATATTTACGTTGTGATAAACCATTTCAAAAGAACTCAAGAGTTAATCCTTTTTGTCTTTAAAAAACATTAACATCTTGCTGTTTAAAAGCCTATTCAAATCCCTCCCCACACAGAGAAAATGGCAAATCTAATAATCAACAACTCACTGTTAGACTATCGACTATACTTTCTTCTATATGTTGCATCCCTTCAGGACATAGGCGATCATGGTTCTCCACAACTTTGTATCCCCTTGTGTCTCTTAGTAGTTTTTCTCCCTTTGCCAAGCCTCCTGTTCTGCCATCACAGAAGTTTGTCACGTAGGTGGCTCACTGCTTTCTATCTCAATATGCCCTGTTAGGGTTAAATTTTCCAAGTTCTCCTTTATTATGTGACCAAAGAATTTCAGCTGAAAACTGCTGAGGGACACAAAGGAAGATTTGGAGAGCCATGACCACCCATATTCTGAAAGGATGCAGCACACAGAATATAAAATTAACAGTCTAACAGTGAGTTGTTGCATATCAAATTTACTCTTTTCTGTGGGTGGGAGATTTGAATAGGCTTTCTCACAGCAAGATGTTAATGTTCTTCTTTGAAGACTAGAAGCAAAAGTTTTCTTTTTGTTGCCATTTCCTTTAAGACTTCCTCATTGCTCCATCCATGGAATCCTCAGTATCCGTCTGTAGAACATGTTTCATATTATTAGTCAAACAAACCTTAAATCAAAACTTCTAAATAAAAATAGTTCAAAATTTTAGAACTACAAAAATGCCTGTGACATTTCATTTATGAAATCTAGTTTCAATTTTTTCTATTAATTTTTCTAAGAGCTAATAATAAAACAAATTGTTGGTTTATTGTAGAAAGCAAAAAATAGCAGGGGTGATATGGTACAAAAAGCATATATTGAATTTTTTTTTCTTCTAACAAAGTAAATATATCAGGTTTTATATTTTTCAGCAAAACATTCCTCCCACCACCGCAATGGAAAAAATTTCAAGAAATCAAAAGAAAAAAAAAAAAAAAAAGAGATTAGTTCTAACTCATTACTACTTTTCTAGAAAAAAATTGCTTATGAACAACTTAAAAAAAAAAAAAAAAATGTTTTAAACCTAGGTTTCATTAATGTAATGTTATTAAATGCTTACATATTTTTATAAAGAATTAACTGAGAAAGTTAAAAGAAAAACTTTATACATACTTTGTTTAGTGGTGTTGTAGCAATGACTGGTGAGGCAGCTGAATGTCTATTCAGAGAGAACCTAACTGGACCCAAGGTTCCATTGGCACCTGAGGAATGTGCTAATAATGAAGGGGTCTGTGTTGAGTGGTGACTTGTGGGCAATGGACTTAGCTGACGACACTGACAATGATAGCAAACCAAAAGAAAAGTTTTCAGAAAACATGTCAACAAAGAGAAACTTAGAAATAAAATAAATTTATCACCAACTTTATAAATATACTGCCTAAGAAAAGCCAGTTCAATTAAGATCTGAAATAAAATAATGAATTAAGTTTTTTTTTTTTTCAGGACTTTATAGATTACATGTATGTATATATGTTTCCTATCCATGCTAGAAAGTAATCTAATTATTTTAATATCTTTAAAGACTGTGAAATCAAATCAGAATATAAGTAAGATTTGTAAGAAAGAAGGAGAAACATTGGGCACAGGCATAAGTTAGAAAAAAAAAAAATGATTTGATGTTTTTATTTCAAACTATCTTTTAGTAAATACAATTCTAATTTTTATATATAAAAGGATTTTATTGTTATTTAATCCAAACATCATTTTTGTATTTCTGTCTAGTAAAGCAGACAAAAGATTAATCATAAAGAATCAAGGAGATAATGCAAATTGCTTCCAAAAAAAAAAAAAAATTTTCATTTAATTAAGCAAGAAGCTACTATACATCCAGTTAGTAATAAAGTTTTACATTTGCAATAAATTTAGTAGCAATATTGTATATAGGGCAGAAATAGAAAAGGTAACAAAATTATGAGATTTACAAATACAAAAAGCAAAGGCACAAATGTAAATATATTCACTCCCAAGTTTTTATTTCTTTTTCCAGTTATAACAAATTCCCAACAGCAGCAGTAACATGTGAACAGCACAATAAAATAAATTAAATATGTTCAATAAAGAGGAAGTGCTTACTGCTTTTGGTGTTGTCTGAATAGGATTTACCAAAGGGTTGGTTGGGTGGACTGTTGGTGGAGAAGTGCTCCGAGGTAGATTGGCCTCACTCTGAAGAGCAGAGGCTGCACTCAGGTAACCTGTTAGAAAGAAGAAAAAAAAAGAAAAAAAAATTTTCTCTATAAAATTGATTTTTTTTTTTTTTTTTTTCTGTTTATCAACCCTTTGTCTATTCAAACCTGAAAATATTTTGAATGGTAAGACTGATTCCTTCTTTGCATCTGAATATTGCATTAAAAATGTTTTTGGTGAAAAAAAAATAAAATGATTTTTCTAGATACAAGTCAATTTTACAGATCATATTCCATACTGTTTTGGTTTTGGTATTAAAATTAATAGTGAACACAAAGTTCTTCCATGAGAATGGCTTGGAATCTTTATTTGTTCTGTGTGTTCTAGCTCTATTTTGTAGATGCATAGATTTTCATGATTTGGATGTAATTTAATATATCAATTTTATGTAGAGCCACACTATGCAATCTGATTGCTTTTTTACACTAGTCGTTAAACCAATGTTTGACAGGTTTATGTTTTGATTTTGGTATAAATTGTTCTGCAATACCCAGAAGAGTTTTAATGAAATAGGTGATGTGCTCAGCATCATCCACATTGGCTCCTGGTCTAAGTTTTAGTGCACATGAGTTTTTAAATTCCTTCCAACTGGTTTTCTTAAGTTTCCAGTATGGTATTCTTTCACCTGACAAAGATCCAGAGTTTTCTAACACAACTGGGAAGTAATCACTACCATATGTATCATAATGTACTTTCCAGCTATAGTCTGGATGTTGTTGAAGATCTTCCTCTTTGGGTTTTATAAGTGAAGAATCTCTAGATCAACATCTGTGACTAGATGTGCTTCTTTTGGTCTTTTAATTTCTGTGTTTGATCAATTCAAATTTTCCATATTTTGATTGGGTATATTAGTTTCTATCATGGGATATGGTGTAACGCTTTGCTTTTCCCTGTTGATATCAGCTTTCATTATTTTGATTAATTTCTTAAGCTCTTGAATTAATGTTGTTAAGTCACAGTAATCGTATTTCTCACCACTGTGTTATTGGGCTTTAGTTTCATTTGCATAATTTATTGTAATATTTTGTCTAGTGTTTTCAGCAATTTTCCTGGTTTCAGGAAAAGTTATGTTTCTTGTATATTTGATCTCAATTATTTCTTTTTCTCTTTGTCAATCTTTACATAGATTGAGTCTGCAGGGTGGTTCTTGTTACAATTTATGCATTTTATGTCCCCTTTTTTCCTCTCAGTTTCTTGATTTGTACTGCTGCATTTTGGACACACTGGGGTTCTAAGTACACCTGTATTTATGATGCCCAAATCTTTGGCAGTTATGACATCTTAAAAGGTCTGGAAATGTAGATTTCCACTTTTGTGATGATATACACTATTTTTATTTCAGCTGGTGGCTTGGATGTGTTGAATATATTGAGTGTATATATATATATATATATATATATATATATATGTGTGTGTGTGTGTTGGTGTTTAAAGTTTAGCCATTGTTATTAATTGTTATTCTGGTTACATTTTGTTTTTTTAGGTTAACTTTGATTTCTTCTAGAGAGCAAGCTGCCAGGTCTGGACTTTTGATTTTACCTGTAGATATGTTAAGACTTTGATGTGGATAGGTTTTGATTTTTAAATTATTAGAATGTTGACCATTTGAGGATTTTGTCTGCATACATTTTTTTCCTACTTGAATTATTGTGTTATTTGATGTTTTTTTTTTTTTTACAGTTATAGGATTAATTTAAGTGTATTTCTTTCAATTATAGAAGGAGATAGTTTTGTAATAGGAGTTTCTTTAAGTGACTCCATTACTAAATACCTAGGAAAGGAACAATGCAAATTTGATTCGTTATCAGAACTTGATTCAGACAGGAGTCTTTTCATTTTCTTTGTGGCCATATTATGCATCTTTTTCATTCATCATCTTCACTCCCCACCCTCCTTGGAGCCCTATTGTGGGAGATGGTTGCAGGAGGAGGGATCCCATTTGCCCAAGCATCTCAGAAATACAAAAATGGTATACTCAGGTTCATAGTTTATATGTAGTCATCAATAATTTTTCATAGAACATAAGTTTTAATTTTTGATGATAGATTTTAGTTCTAGCCTGATAGATCCTTGCCACCACATTCTAGTACCATTTGATTAAATTTGATTGGTATGTGTGTATGATTTTTTTTTGGGGGGGGTGTGAAGGAGTGTTTTTGGAGGGTGAATAAGTACTAGGGTATTTTCAACATGACTAGTTGAATGATCAGATCAGGTCTATCTGACAGCCTGTCTAGCCTAAGTGCCAAAGTAGCTGTGTTCGAATTCAGAAGTATTCTACCAAACACCTGAGATCCTCAGCTACAACAATCCCATCCTCAGGCATATTGGGTCACTACCCATGGCAAACAGGTGGTCTCATTTGTGGGGATGTCTTATCCCTCTGCAGAGGTGCAGTTGGCGTATTCTGAAGCCTCAGCCGACAGGGCAGGTTAACTAGTAAATGTTTTACAAAAAGAAAAAGGTACTGATTGCAAGCATCCCATATTTGACACTATTTTATACCCATATATTTATAGAAAGACAATGGGGGGGGGGGCTTTCAAATTGTCTATACTAAATTGCAATATGTTTGAACAGATCTTAATTATTGAATTGCTTTCATTCAATTATTAAAGAGAAACAACAAATTTTGATAATTTTTTTCTAATTTAACACATTTGATGATATTTTTGCTAACAACTAAACAAGATTCATTTTTTTTTTAATCTTTAACAGTTATAACAAAAATATTACATTAAAACAAAAAAAACCACCTTTTTAAAAACTTCTGTTGCATCAACAGAAGTTTTTAAAAAGGTGGGTTTTTTTTTCTTTTCAAAGAAAGCAGCTGGGGTGCATGCATGCATGCATATATATCTCCAAATGAGAGAAAGAACAGATGGAGCAAAAATCCACTGTTCATAGCATTTACTTTTTAAAAAGTGCTCAAAACAAAGAACAATATATTATTATTATATTTTTATTATAAGGGTTTATAATAAAACATTTTGAAATTGCTACACAAAAGCTTTCATGTTTCAATACTTTGTACTTCTTCAGGCGATGGTAAGTAACTGGTGATTAAATGATTTTTAAGGAAATTTAAAAACAAATTGTTACCTCTTTTCTGAAAGTTAATAACTCACCCATCTCCTTCCGAAAGTAAATAAATAACTCACCCACCTCCAACGTCTGATGTTACTTCTCTATTTAGCATAGATCTGACATTTAATTGGTTAATCAAGACATGCTCATAAGTCTATTTTTAATTCTGACCTTATGCCCCCCCCCTTTAACTTTCGGAAAAGAGATAACACTTTGTTTTTAAATTTCCTTAAAAATCATTTAATCACCAGTTATTTAACATCACCTGAAGAAATTCAATCATAGTATTGAAACATGAAATCTTTTGTGTAGCAATTTCAAAATGTTATTATTATTATTAACTATATATATATATATATATATATATATATATATATATATATATATATATATATATATATATAAATTTTATATATCAAGAACAGATTTGGATGAAAGATGTATGACAAAGTGGGAAAAGATTTTGTGACACATTTCATCCCTTAGGACTTCATCATATTAGGTCTGTTTACATTGATCAACTACACATGTGTATAAATGAGAGATATTGAGAATTTTAAATTTTGAAAATATTTTTGAAAATTTTTTTTTAATAATGTGTTTTGGGTGTATAATCTAGCCAATTTCATTGAGATTTTGGGGGTTTTTTTTGTTGTTTTTTTGTTTCCTTCATTTTTGTAATTAAATATCACACATTGTGATAAGAGAAAGTCTGCCAAGAATGGTTAAACATTGTAGGAATCTGGACGCATATTTACTGTTGATGAACTAGCGATTAAAGCACTTTTAAACATTTTCATCTTAGTGAATTGTTTTCTCTTAATTGAAGTAGCATTTTTCATGTCAAAATTGTGGTCAGTCGTGTTACAGTGAACAACTAATGTGTTTTGATTTTTTAAAAGAGAAAATAAAAGAGGAAATACTTCACTAAGACAAAAATGTTTACAAAGTGCTTTATTCACTAGTTCATCCATAGTAAATTTGCATCCAGGTTCTTACAACGTTTCACCATTCTTGGCAGATGTTCTTTTATCACAATGTGGAATATTTAATAACAAAGATAAAAAGAAAAAGAATCGGTTAGATTATATAGCCAAAATACATTGTCTCTAAAAGACAAGATTGGTTATAGTAACTTACCTTCTGACATTAAGTGTTCATATATCAACTGAAGTAATTCTCTCTTTTGGAAAGTAATCTTTGTCTGTGCCACTATATCTGCCTGGAAGCAATATTCAAAACATTAGATTTATAACATCAAATGATCAAAAGTACAAAAAAAAAAAAAAATTCACAAAATAACAACCATATTTTACTATCCCTTTTTTTCTTCGAAAAAGCAATGCAACAGGAATAGAAAAAAAAAACATATATACAATATGGCCCAAAATCAAAAAGAAATCTACAAAGAGGTACTGAAAAGTTCTCATCCTAACCAAGAACTTCCAATGGTTTTGTCTTTTTAAATGTTTACTCAAATTTTGGAAAGTGGGCCATGCCAATAAGATTTTTATATTGTGTTTATACATTATTTTTATAGACAAAATATTTAAGTAAATGCTCTGTTTATAATAAACAGTATTAACATTTATTGGCCTGAATGTCAGAAAAATTTCATAGAAAATGTGTGGCCTCCGACAGGAATCAGACCTGTATTCTACACAAAAATTTGACCTTGCTAATCAGACGCTTCCTCTGTAGCATCAGACAAAAATGTATAAACAGAAAATATATTAAAATAATTGTCAAACTTGGTCCATTTCATTATATATATATATATATATATATATATATATATATATGTTACTTTTTGATTAATTTTGTTTCAAAGACATGAACAATTTTTATTTCTAATATTATTCTCAAGTTATTTGTTCTTTTTTTATTCTTTCTGGAAGGTGTCAACCAGATTGTCTTTTACATCATAGATTTCATGGAGAAAATAATTTAAGATTGGATGTTTCTAGACAAACAACAAAAATATTTTCTGAACCATATTTTAACAAAATGACAAAGTAAACAAGGCTTTTTGCTGTCATTTTGTGAATTTTTCATTTATAATGAAAAAATTTATTGTTTTTAGTAGTTCTTAATCTGTCACCTGAATGTTTGCCTAATTTTGAGATTTTGATAATTTACAATCTTAACAAAAAAAAGACAAATGGAGTTAAAGAAACAAAATATAAAAATGCTTTACTTTAATCAATTATGGAAGTGTTTTTTTTTTTTTTTTTTTTAATGAAAATCATGGTGTCTGATATCCAATCTGATTATCATGTGACAACATGGAATCCTGCTACTGCTATCCAAGCCAACATGAATTTCAAAGTTGATTTTAAAGAGACAATTTCTCCATCACATTCAGACATTGAGTATATATATTTCAAATACAAAACTAAAATAAGCCATCAAAAAATTGTGTTTCAAGTTACCTTTTTCCCTACTAGGCAAAAAAAAATCATGCTGGAAATTTAAGAAGCTAAAATAGATAAGAAAGTAAGTATTGTATTTTACAATCTTATGATAGCAATTATTTGTTACATACATGTAAGAGGAAAAAAGATTTAGAAACTAGTGTTAATAATTCTTACAATATTTATTTTATCAAAAACAAAAATTATAAGGAAACCTATTTAAAAGATGGAAAGAAGATTAACATACCTTTCTGATGTCTTGTAAGGAAGCCTCAATGTTTGCATTATGATGTTTTCCAGAAACTCTCTCAATCAATTCATTAGAATATTTGCAAAACTTTACATGGGCTTGCCGTTTGTCTTGTAACACAGGTTCTTTCATCAGCTCTATAAGGAAAAATAAGGCAGTAAAAATGGATAAATGGAAATATTTTAACTATGTTAAAAAAAAATGTTAATAACTTTTTACTATATATATATATATATATATATATATATATATATATATATATATATATATACCTCCACGAGATCACTAAAAAAAAAAATTTAGCATGACGAAAAAAAGACGCCAAACTTGGCAAAAAACAAAATTTTATCATCTAAATGTTTTTTATTATTAAGAGGAAAGATCAAAGTATTTTTGAGGTATTTTTTTTTACATTTTTTTTAATCGTTCCTAGCACATCCGAAATTTTCGTTAAAAATCTTGTCAGCAAAATTGACCATTTTTTTTCCATTTTATAAAAAACTGGAAATCTCACTTTGAAATTCTTTTAAATATCAATTATCATTTTTTCAAAACTTATTTTAAGAAAATCAGAAATTATAATGTTTATTTAAAATATTTTTGAACCAAGCAACTTAGCTTCTCTTGAAAAAGACATAATTTGAAAATAAAACAAAAGCAGGTCATAAACTTTTTCGCGTCACTTGACAGGTGATGAATGACATATTGACAAGTTCCGTGAGGATAATTTGTTCTACGGAAGGAGAAAAGTGAAATAATTTACAATTAAGTGAACAAATTATTTACCTCGTTACTTTCAGTGCTCTAATTTTTTTTTTGTACTTAGCTTTCACCTTTACGTTTACGATGCTTTATGGAAAATATATTATCAAGAAATTAAAATAAGACTGTTAAGAGTGAGATTAAATTTCATATTTCATAAGAAAGGTATCTAATTAATTTATAAGTACCTTTCTTGTGAAATTTTATCAGAAGTGTACATAAAATACTATAATTTTATGTACATTTATTACATTTTACTGTGTCATTTGTATTTCCATTCATTTTATTATTAATTTTGATATTTCATTTATGGAAAAATGTCATAACTGAAATTAAAATAAGATCATATAAATTTCATAAGGTGATACTGATACTTGTAGGTACTCTTCTCAGTTGAAATTGAAAAATCAAATTAACTTCTCCACATGTGAGAGCAATATTTAACTCAAATAACGCAATGCTTAACTCAAATAACACAACTTAATTGTATTCTGGTTGGTCTTCCGTACTTTATAATCACAGCCTGATTATAAACACAAAATTACATTTCTTAATTACTGCAGATCTTCTGATTGGTCAAAATGATACAATTTACAACGCACTAAAAAAAAAAAGATCTCTCATAAGGAGACTTAGAAAACCTGATGTGGCTTTTAACTAATTTTATAATATTTTAACAACTTAAATGTAAAAATCTATTATAATTAAGAAATAACAAATAATTGTATTAAAAATTTATTTTTCACAAAAAAAATTTTTTGCATTCGTAAAATATTGTCCATATTCATAAAAACAACTAAAAGCAAATAAAAGCATTTGAAATTAAATAATATCTTTGTTTTATTGTGTTTTGTATATTACAATTCAGAGATGATTTTCAGGTAGGCGGGCGGGGTTGGGGGGAATTGGAAAAAAAAAAAACAAACAAAAAAAAAAACAACATGATTTATTTGCATTCCTCAAAGCCTTGTGCTTTTAACTTTTGTAATCACTAAACCTGATGCGATCGAATTTCTAGCGTTTTCATAAAATTAGTTAGGGGGTAACAAATGAAAAAGTATTTCTGCCATGACTTTAATAAAAAAAAAAAAACATAATACTTTCAATCATCTGTGAATAGTTCCTGAAAGTTTCATTAACATCCAACAATTATTTCTTTTTGCAAGATTTTCCAAATTAATGTGTGTCATACCAAAAAAAAAAAAAAAACATGCTAAAAATTGTCTATGTTATTTTACTACTTCCGGTGATACAAAGAGAAACAAGGTTTTTTTTTTTTTTTTTTAAATCAAAATTTAGAATGTTCTAAAAAGAAGGAAAAATTTTGAAAAATTTAAAAAAAATAATTAAATAAACTTTGGTCTTTCCTCTTAATAACAAGCATTTAGACAATAAAATTTTGTTTTTGGCAAGGTTGGCGTTTTTCATCAAGCTATGCTCTTTTTTTAGCGATTTCGTGGAGGTACCTATATATATATATATATATATATATATATATATATATATATACACACACACATACATATACACACACACATATACATACATACATTTCATTGAAAACGACATTAGGTTATATTTTATGAATTAAAAATTAAATGGCAGCTAATCAATGAGTAAGCAACTCAGATATTTATAATATAACCATACAAAAACATAACTTTATGTACATTATTCAGACTATTGTCCTCATCTTTGTCGCCATATTTATTACAACTTTTTGGCCATTGTATGCTGAACCCTTTATTTTGCTCACTCAAGGACACATGGCACAGTGGATAAAGGCGTTGGTTAGAACCAGTGACAGGACCCAAAGAGTGTGATTTCAATACCCGGTTAAGGCAATGAAGAACTTTCAGAGGGAAATTAAGATAACTGATATCCATTAAACATGGCACGTGGAACTAGAATAGTCTACCCCAGTGAGCAAAATAAAGGGTTCAGTTCAATTCCAACCACCTGAAGAAGGACGGAGCATACAATGGCCAAAATGTAATAAATATGGCGACGAAGATGAGGATAATAGTCCGAATAATGTAAATAATGTACATAATACCTCATCTCAGAAATATAGACAGATACTGAAAAACATAACTACTTTTTTTTCTAATCTAACTGAAAATGTTAACTGTTCAATGTCACTAAATTTTTCATCCATGTTTTTAATTCAATATTTTGAAAGTACAATGTCACATTTTGTAGAAATTTAACTGTTAGAAAATGAAATGATAGAAAAGTAAAATACTTACGTTGCAAAAGGCCATTGTTAAAGAGAGGAAGTTTTCCAATGATCTGTCGTATAGTTTCTGAACGGGAAAGTCCAACCAGAGCCTGTGACAAACACAAAACAAAACAAAAGGATAAATAATTCTGTATATGTATAAAAGATAAATTCTTAGATGAAATATTACATGTTATTTTTTCTTAAGCAATGTATTGTAAATTAGAAATATATCTTTAATTATTTTTAGGCAACAGAGAAGTTATTTAAAAATAAATACAAAAATACTTTAAGTTAATGTCAATTCAGCTTCTACATCAGTTTTCATAAGATCTAAAATTGTTTTTTCTCCTAAGCAGAATTTTGAAATCTAAAGGTTCAAGTCTTTGGGTTAAGAATCATTAAATAAGAAGATCTGAATAACAAATACAAAGGAAATGGTTGGTTGCATAACATATTTCCTGTGTCATAGTTCTGTATCTATTGCAATCTTCAAATAACTGAGGTTTCTTGGAATAAATGTGAATGGAATTAAATATACTGCAAAGTTCCAAAACAGAACAGAAACTGCATCCAGTTGGGTCTAGAAAGGACATCTTAAGATGCCCATGATTGAAATTTTTAACAAAGTCTTATTGTGAAATGCTACTTGTTTCCAGACTAGAAACCATCAATACCTGATGACTTTATGGTCATCAGCTGAAGAAGATATTAATAAAAATACTGCTGATGCATTTTTGTTGTGTGTGTGAATGTGAGCATATGTACACAAGTATTTCTTTACTTCTTCGTCAGCTTTTGGAACCTTAGGACACATACATATTAAAAAGAATATTGTTTACTTTTTCTAAACAATACACATGATTTTGTTCTATGACAAGTATGAACAACTTCACGCTCAATGATACCTTTATGAGTTTGGTATAAAAAATATTTTTTATTCTACTAAACATTTGTAATAAATGTAATCAACATTCTTTTATTACTAGAAGTACCTGTGAAAATTTCACAGCTTTTCTATTTGAATTTTCTGATGAATCTTAATTTATAAGTTAATGGTTGAGTAAGTTCATGATGAGTTCTGCAACAATAAAATATCTGTAGAAATTCCCCTTTCGCATTGTTAAATATTTGAGTTTAACAACTTTAACAAAATATTGCAATAACAATCATAAATATGAATACTAGTCATTATATTAAGAAGTAAGGGGATACAAAGGGAAAAAAAAAATTGAAATTGACAAATCTTTTCTATTTCACTGAAAACAAGTAGTGTCTCTGATGTCTTTTCAGTCTTAATACACAATCAAAATGGAATAGTCCCTTATTTATGAGGTATTAACACTAGGATGGCCAGCTCCTTTGACATTTTTATTTACATTACGCCATGAAGCAGCCATCTTTAATATATTCAATATTCAAGTCAGGAATAACAAGTCTCATGCTGAAAGAAAGTGATTATATATATATATATATATATATATAAATTGTGTGTGTGTATAAATAGATAGATAGATAGATAGGGGACATAAACACAATTATTATTGTGTGTGAGAAATTTTTCAACGCATTTACCCTATAAATAGTCTAGGTGTCAAAAACGACACCTCGGCCATTCAAGGTAAAACCTAAAATATCAGCTATTCCACTGAATATTTTTTAAAGAATTAAGTCTGTTAAGCATCTTTGCTAAAATTCAATAATTGTCCATAAGCCTCAGCATCGAACCAAAACTAGTTATTCCATAGTAATTTGTTGAAAATTTGAAGGTGTCGAAAATGACACCTCGGCCATCCTAGTGTTAACAGGGCGTAATGGTCATGCTAACTAAGGAAGGGACACAGAATTATAAGATCTTTCTTCTTAATGGAAAAATATAGTATGCAATATAATTGGCTATGAAATTGATTAACATGTGGTTAATGTAACATAGATGCCAATAGATGGTCATAAAACTTCTTTCCTATAAATAAGCTGTTATGCCAAACAGTTACTACATTTGAATGAATATGGTTTAATCAAAGGATTCAAACAATTTTCATTGTGGGACTAGTTTAAAATTTTCACATTTCATATTATTAAGATAATGAAATTCACGAGTCTTAAGTGACAGTAATTTCCTATAATAAATGGAAACCTTCCTTCCAATTACTCCTCTCTCTTTCTATTATATCTTTACAAAAATTAAAATTTGAGCAAAGGGAAAAAGAAAATAAGGTTCTTACTCTGCAAGCCAATGCACGAATGTTGTCTGCTTCACTAATAGGAGTCTTCTGAGATAGTAATTTCAATAGAACCTACAAGATACATATATATGCAGGTAAATATGAAAAAGAAATTTTGTATGTACAAAAGTTTACAAAATCCAAGACATGATAAATTTGACATTTTAATGAATGCTTAAAAAAATAAATAAAAAAAATTGAAGTATATCAATAAATCTGCAGTATAATAATAAAGTATTTATTTTATACAACAGAATAGTTTTCAATTCAATTGTAAATATTAATCCTATAGATCAAACATTATACAGTGAAAATTTCAGATCAAAATTCAGCTAATAGCTATGTGTCAGTCTATGACTATTATTAACTATTGCATTAATAGAAAAAAAAAAAAAAAAAAAAAAAATAAAAAATAAAATCCTTACAAAAAGGAAACAATTTTTTTTTTTTTTTTTAAAACAAAAACAGGAACACAGTTAATCTTATTAGTATGACAATATTATTAATATACTTAAATGATAAAAGGGACGTCAATCTGTACACACTGATTATTACTACAACAAACAAAATTTGAAAGGATGGAAAAAAGCAGATAATCAGTAGTTGTCAACAGGGATGATCACAAAGAATACGACATATTCATGTATAGGCAGACTTCATGCATAATGTGACTCCTGAAATTTTTGCATGAATTTTAATCCCTCCAGAAAAAATCCACCTGTGTATAGTGCAAGCGGTCACTGAAAATGCATGATTTTTAACCTCTTCCAAAAAATTACCTATGTATAGTGTGACCCCTTATATTTTTTTTGCATAAAAAAAGAACTGACCATAAAAACTCACTAGACTTGAGTATAAACATTATAAGAAATTTAAGCTGCTTGAACATGCCCTTCAGAGATAAGTATTTTTGGTACAAATTCATTTTGTTGAAACATTTGCTGCGTTTGTTTTTCATCCAAAACCAATAAAAGGGCTTCCCACCAAATTTTGAGCAGTGTATTTGGTGCCTACCTGTAGGTTGCTTAAGTGGGTGCTGCAGGAACACAGGTCACCCCGGTCCAGAAAGAAAAAAAGCAGAAGAAATTTGACAACAACCAGACGAGAACTGAAGGGGACATCAAAGTCACTCCAACATCAAAGAATAGTCTTCGGCTGGTGAGCATGTTCTATTCTTCACTGTTACCAAGAACTTTGCTTTGAAAATTCTATCAAATTATTCTTTGAAAACTATTCAGATAAGTATTTTCTCCTTTTCTTCATTTTATGTCATTTTCTTTTCTGAGAACCATTTTCATTGATTATTTACATACATGTTATTGTCTATCATTTGCCACACAAAGCACTTAATTTGTGTAATTCATTCATTGTTGTGTTAAAAATAAATTATTCATGTTTTTAAACTTGGTTTATGTCATCTGTCATTGTTGTGTGCCCATATAAAAATTGAATGTTACCCCAAACAATTTGTTTGAACTATTTTTTTTTCCATAGGGCTTATATAAATAATATAAATAATATAAAAAAAAAAATAAATAAATAAAAAAATAAAATAAAAAATCCTATAACAGCCATCAAAGTCAAATGCAGAAAGATGTGTTCAGACAATTTAGATGCACTAATAAATATCTTTCAGGTATCAAATTGCACAGGAAAAGCTCTTAGGGTGAAGTTTACAAAGAGCTTCAATTCTATAACTATAAATGATAAGTTAAAATGTAACTGACCATCATTCCATTGTTTCCTCGAATACCATCCCACATTTTGCTGAGTACATCTTCACCAACCTTCCAATTGATTCTCTTCTTGGAGCCAGTGCCTTTAAATCTTCCAACACCACCACCAAGCTACAGAAAATGATAATAAAAAAAGATATTAGTTTTAATGTATAGAAAATAACAAATTCATAATTAGTTCACATCATCAACTACTTCTTCTAAGTGCCATGTTCCTTCAGGGTGTGGGCAATCATGGCTCTCTACAACTTCCTATCCTTTGTAGCTCTTAGTAATGTTTGTCTTTTACTGTCCCATCCACTCCGTTTTTCCATCTATTCATATTAACTCATCAGGTAGCTGCCTTCCCCTGTCCTTTCAATATGTCCACAGGATAAAATGAGATTTGAACATAAGCTGATATTTTATAAAATGTTGACAAGAAGCAATAGGTGTTTGAATAAAAGAAAAAGCAAGCTGAAAGAAAAAACAGAACTTATCTCTGGTTACATTTCCTCAAGTGACTATTGGAGAAACAAAATGACCATGAGATGAAATCCAGATGGTACATGATCTAAAGCTAAACAAAAAAATCTTTAGGAACAAAATGATGACTAAACTGATCATTAATTCCTCTTCCCCCACCGACCAGAATGTGCAGATAATTCTTGAAAAAATATAAATAGGTCAAGGTTTATAGATATATGGGTGGATAGAAAATTGAATTTTGAGAAAAATTACAATTTAACCAGATAATGTTAATTGGCTAGTTGGTGATGAAGCCAACATGGCAGTATGTTTTTTCAACCAATGGGCATATGAGAAACTTGCAGAGAGGTTGGGATGGAACAAGCCAAATTTGGAGAAGCTTGGAAAATGATTAATTATGGGGATTTTCATAATAAATCAAATTAACCCCAACCCAGCTATATTGGGATACCTCAACATAAGCAGGCCATTTTTGGCTCTTGAAACACAGTTGGAATTCCAGTGGCAGTCCATGAAGATGCTGCAAATTAGCATCACTGACCCTCTTCCCCCTTTACTCCAACATCGCTTGCAAGATGCTTCCCAAGTTGGTCAACTGAATTAATTTTTCCCCATTTTAAAAAGACTTCACTTGCAGACTCTGCAAACCCAAAACCAAGTTCCCTAATTAAATTTTTTTAACTGACTGCTATCAGCATTGCTGCTGGTTTTGCAATACGGTGTAAATAATGCAAATATCTACTAACTCACCAACCAACCATAGTTAGGTAGGCTACAGCACAGACAAATTTAAGAGGTTTAAGTGATAACTGTAATCCTTAAACAAATATTGTCTCTACAAACACGAGCCATTTATCTGTCCTGAAAGTAGTTTTCCTTTTATTTCTCTTTCAGCTTTTGTCCTCTTCATTTAATGAGGACATTTCAACTAGCTAAACTTCTTCAGATCAAAAACAAACAATTTTTTTTTATATAAAAATGTATTACTGGTATTTTTAATATAAAAATGTATTTTTTATACCTCCATAGTGTTTTGACCACAGTTTATGGGTTAACTATTTGCCCATAGTTGGGACCCTAACAAGTGCTACCACCTCAGGTCAGAGTGAACTGGAAAACAATAGCAATTAAGAGGTGGTTCCACATGCCTCAAAACCTCCTGATCAGAGGCTATGCTGCCAGACATAGTTTATCGTCATACCCAGGACTCTTTGACTTTGTAGTTTATTTGAAATTGAATAAAGGAGAAAAATACATGGTGTCATTTTTAGAATGTCACTTAGAATAAGGAGAAATTATGAACTTTTAAAAACAAATCTTTAATCAATATTATTGCAGGGAGACATAACAATTTTGAACAATGTAATAGCTTTCACTGGATATTGAGAATTCAAAGACTAAAATAAAAAAAATATACAATATTTACTTATATAATTGGAAATAATGTACTATCATGGAAATATTGAGCCATATTTAACATGGAGATAAAAAAATATGCTTACTCGTTCCATTGGTCCCCAAACACAGTTGATAATAACATTAAGAGCAGATTTTTGTACCTCAGGATCTTGAACAGTTTTACCTTCTGCTAAGCCAATCATAATACTGTTGGGGGAAAAAAATAGACAGAAGGATTATTATGGTAGGAAATATAAAAAAATAAAAATTAAACATGCATTTTATTATGCATATTACATCTCTATTACATTAAGAGAAAGTTAAAATATATCCTGAGTAAAATTTATAAAATTAGTTCTAAGTCCAATTTCAAGACATACACAAAGAGATTAAAAAGATTTGGAAATATTCCCAAAAAGTACACACTTGATAGCAGAAGCAGTGTAATCCACTCCAACAGGAAGGGGCTCCAACATGGCTAATTGACATTGGGGCATAACTGTACAAACAGCCAGGACATCCATTGCACTACATAAAGTTTCTGACCTGTGAATAAAGATTTATAAGGCGGCAATTTAAAAATAAGACTTTTTTTTATGTGCTATTGTCAAATAAAAGATTTAAAAATAAACAAGTAGGTAGTTATTTATTGATTGGGTGAGGGTAGCATACAGGATGCTGCCAAAATATGGGAGGAAATGTGGTACAGTGTTCACCATATACTGTAGAAAGGATGGAAAAAATTACCATACAGGGCAAGGAAAGAAAATTAAAGCCATCCTTCAAAAGGTACATGGCAGCAGGGACAAAAAAAGAGGATTTGAAGAGAAAAATAACTAAAATCAATGTTAGTAATTCAATAAAAAATAAAAATATATATAATGGTGAAGGGATTTGAAACAAACAGCAGATAAAGTAATTATAATGAGATGACTTACTTGCTTGGGTAATTGTTCCAGTTTTGAGCAATAGCCAAAAGTTGAATGACCAGACTAATCCCACCTAATTGCTCAAACTGGGCAACAGGCCTCCATACCATCCTCATTGGCATCAGATCCAACAACATCTCTATGTTCTCCTGGACCACTTCAGGAGTCAGCTTTAATGCCTGAAACAACAAAGATGGTTGAATGCAGGAAGTTAAAAACTTTGTTATTCTTAAAGAGTTTAAATTTCATAAACTGAAATACAAGGGGGAAAAAAAAAAAAGTAAAGTCAAGATATCTATTTAATAATGTGTAACTATTTTCACTTCAATAATGACAGCTTCATGAAGTGGCATGGAGTCTATGAAGTGCTAGAGTCGTTGGGTAGATGTATCAAGCTAGGGTCATCCATGTAGGGTGTGCCTCTGAGGAATATTGTCAGTTCCCTGACATGTCCCATACATGTTCAATAGAGTTTAAAATCTGTCAACTATGGAAGCCAAGTGTTCGTGGGACCAGTTTCATTTTTCATTCCAGTACATTAAGTTGCAATTATCTTACGACATCAGGGAAATATGGCAAGCAGAAATAGATGCAAATAGTCTACAAGATCTGTAAACTTCAAAATTGATGGATTTTTATTTATTAATCCAACAGATTTTATTACTTAAACAACAGTTTTTAATGGATATGCATATTTGAGAAATCTTAAAGAAAAATATGTTCTCCACATTTATTTTTATGAAAATAAATAAATATACTGTTTAATAAATAAGCAGAGTGTCTACTCAAATATAGGCAGCCATTAAAAAATAATGTTCAAATGAAAAAAAAAAAAGGAAGATCTATGTATATTGCGCCTGTCATGATAGATACCAGTTCTCCCCCACCCCACCTTGAGAAATATTAACTTGCAACTCAATCAGCATTTAATCAGGATGTAAAATTTTAACTATTTTTCAACAGTAATAAATGTAATGTGTGTGTGTATATATATATATATATATATATATATATATATATATATATATATAATAAATCACTACACAATTATAATCATGTTTCAACACCACCTGAGGAGAGACATTTCTGGTGTTGAAACATGATTGTAATTGTGTAGTGATTTTTTAACAAATTTTTGTTTTAATATTCTAAAATAAATAATATTTAGCTTTACTCTATATTGAGCCCTCTTTTAAATTAAATGTTATGTACAGTGGAATTATACTCCATTTGATCTCATTTTACCTGGATATTTATAAAAACTTCCAAAGCCTATGGAAACACTTTTAAGTAGTTAGTTTAAAAGCTCTTAAGTCATTGATTGGCAATCAGTGTTGCAGTTTTGGGGGTATTATGTACTAGTGAGTTAGCCCAAATGATTTGACTCACTTTATAGTCCACCAATAAAAGGTTAACCAATCAGAAGACGTAGAATATTCAATCCGTCGTGTATAAAGGCAGCTATTTTGTTTACGCTATCCGAATGTCCAGTGCCAGCTTGTCAGGTGAAGAGGAACAGAAGGAATAACTACGCTCTGCTACTTTTACCGGGATATCCACTGCTAACCTGAACTACACTTCCCTACTGTCTTCGAAATATTCACTGCTAACCTCTGGATTCTATACTCAAAGATGACAGTCATCATGAACAACAATCAGGAGTTCTCATGATTGGCAGTTTTTATTATAATGCCAACTACAAGTTTACCTCATGCTTGGTATTTTCTGATCTATATTCATATGTGGGCGTCAATAATAAGTTTATTTGCAATGACACTGATAGTGTTAAAACAATGTTAAGACTTCAGTTGAAGCTAGAAATTAACACGTAAAAAGTTTTTTTTACTGCTTAAATTGGCATTTGACATCTGGTTTTTTAATTGACTTCTGGCAATCAACATTTTAATACATTAAAGCCTGCTATAAAATCTGGTATTAATTACAGGTTTCTAATAGAAAAAAAAAAAAAAAAGGTTTAATTGTAGGTTTTTACCTATAACCCAGTAACGTCCCCTATCCCAAAATGAGACAGTGGATATTAATGGGTTAGTATAAAACTATAATCTTTTTAAACATTGGCAATTTTATAGTAAACTAAATATTCCTAGTTTCAAAAAGCCAATGAATTGACATAATGAATCCAATGTACCTTATTGGCAGGCATTTCTGTAACCGGGGATCCATTCTCATTGCGAAGATGAGATCTTCTTATTTCATCAGCATGCAGAACCAGATGAGCCTCCATGTACTTCTTGAAGGCTATGCACACATAGCGAGCTATCTGCCTCATTGTGTAGACTTTGTTTTCCATTGGTTGCTCCACTGAAGCATCAAAATTCAAAATTGGGAGGGTGCTGACCTAAACATAAAAATAGACAACAAAATAATTATTTGAACAACAACATAAAATTTCTCAACTTGTATTTATCTTACATCAAATATCATTCTAATCAAGCTTTGTTTATATAAATGATTTACATTTATCAAATTTCAGTTGTTATATATATATATATATATATATATATATGTAGGGTGTGGCAGAAATACCTCCCACATTATGGTAAGACATTATCTAGATAAAGACACCATTGCCACTAATGTCTTACCATTATGTGGGAGGTATTTCTGCTACACATTGTATATAATTATCCTTACAGACCATAAATTTGCTTAAAATATGATCACTTAGCATTTGCTTCAAATACAACTCATGCTATTCTAAATAAAACCCAAAAAATTAAATTTGAAATATCATTTTTCACTCAATAATATAAACAAAGATTTTTCAAACTTTAACCACATTTTGTCTCTTCATAATTTTTACATTTTTGTTTTGAAGGGTACAAAATATTTCAAAATACAAAACCAAATAAAAATCACTTATTTTTTTGTCTGTGGTCCAGCCCACAAAAATTGCTAGAGTATATGATACAAATCTTGTGCTGAAAAGGTTTTGAAGATCACTGATATTAACAGCAATAGATTTGATGTATCTTTCATCAAGAAGCACAGATATTTGAATTCACAGTTATGACAAAAACTATATTATGTTCAAATGAATACCACAACATCAGTAATAAGATAGAATTATTATGACACCTGAATAACAAAAGTACACAAATATAAAACATTCATCAAGCTATTCATGCCCAAAGTAACAATTAAGATACACTGAAGAATATCAATTATAAAATAGGATCTTATCAGAAAATAATGTTCTTTTATGGTACCATATGAATTTGTAATTTCTTCTGTTAATGGTTGCAAGGAATGGCTTGTTAATTTTTAACACCTCCAAAACAAACTGCTCTCTTTTGATCATCTAAGAGAATCTTTTCTGCCTTCTATCAGCATGGCTGATGCTAACCTCCAAAAGCTGACATGAATATGGAAACATTACATTGAATTATTTGCTAGATCTGCTGCTAAGAAAGTTGGGTCACCATGTTGTGTAAGAGGATTTTTCTCTCCAGAATCCATCTTACATATTTATAAGTCTACCATCCATCTATGCTTTGAATGTTGCTGCCACATAGGATCTAGTGATCTTCCTGTATATATAAAGATTCTTGATAAAATCCAAAGAAGAATCTGCAAGGTTATTGCTCCTGATCAGGCACTTCGGCTTCAGTCACTTTCCCACTACCATAATGTCGCTTCCCTGGTGCCTTTTCTATAAATACTTTCATGGTAATTGTTCTGACAAATTTCCCACTATGGTACCTAGACTTTATGAATCATCATTTTACAGTGGAAGTGGCTAGATCCAACTGTAAGTTCTATGCTAACAGTTTCTTCTCTCACACTTCTCACTTGTGGAACTCTCTTCCAGCTTCATGCTTTTCAGTCAACTTTGATCTTCAAAAATTTAAATGCAATGTCAATTGTTATCTATGGTCTTCTGAATTGCTTTTTTTATTGTTCCCACTCCTTAATAAAGTTTTGCTTTTTCTTTCAACCTCAGTAACCCTCTTGTCTCTTAGTGGTTTTACTGTCTTGCTCGAGATGAAATGAAAAAAAAAAAAAAAAAAAATCAATCAACTTCTTTATTTTTATATAAGCATTGAAAATGCATATATTTCAATCAAAGGCAGGGTTTATCAAATTTTTTTTAAGGGGTCAAATTTATAACAAGAAATGTTCACTTTATCTGCCATAAATAGCAAAGAGAAATGCGATTTACCCCAAAACAATAGTCATTATGACAAGTACTACATCTTTTATACCATCCACTTACCACATTTATCAGACGTCGGAGTCCATCTTTTTGGTCAAATAAATCCAGAATAATACGGAATGCAAATGCATGGTCAAGAAATATGGCTGCATGACACCGACTAGATTCATGTGAGCACTCCAGTAACCAAAGGACATAGCTGGAAATTAAATTTCAAATTTTTCTGAATTGTTTTCATTTAAAACAATAACTTTTCTAAATAAGTTACGAGAGAGAATATTGCTATGTTCTTTTGTTAATTAAAACAAATTATATATTACAATATCATGAAAATTAAAAATATTTTCTGATCAAATTCTTTAAAAATTATCCCTATTTCAAATCATATATATATATATATATATATATTTTTTTTTTTTTTTGAATAAAAACAAACCACTTTAAGGTTCCATGTAATAAATTATTTCACCACAGCCCTTTTAAAGGGCTCTGGACCATCAGACTTTACTTCCAAAGGTTGAAATGAAAAATGAAAAGAAATTTACAAATTTTTGACGGGCCATATTAAGCATATGTAAATTAACAAAGTGAGGAAGTAAGGGGGGAGAGAAGACATGAGTGAGTTAGATGTACCATTTCAATTATTTAGCCTTAAGCTCACTTGGTGTGGGCCAGACATCGCTTAACATAACATGTTATCTCTAGATATAGATGGGTAAGGGGTGAAGAAGAAACCCACATAAAAGGAAAAAGATACAATAAAATAAATCATGAGAGAACGTTCCACTCAATTTCTTAGACGCTGTTATTTCGCATTACTTTAAAGGGTATATTTGGGGGTTAAAGTTTGATATAAATCTATGGGTCTACCCATACGGATTACCTAGTTTTGCATAAACTATATATATATATATATATATATATATATATATATATAGCAATATTACATTTAAATAAATTGTACTAAATTAAAGTCTGTCCACTTATTTTAAATGCATTTTTCCAATTTTCGAATAGATTGTTGCACATCTCGGTCAAACTTATGGATAAACTGTCCAAAGTTCATTTTTTTTGTTTGCATACTTTGGATTGCTTTGGTCATTATCATAATATTTAAGTTATAAATTTAATTTAAACAACATCTTGTTATCTCCCTTGAAAAACACAAAGATTTTAAAAAATTGAATTTTGTTATCAATTGATATACTCACAAAATTTTTAATTAGAGCCCATATTAAAAATAATCAAACTGCAAGTTTTTTTTTTCTCCCCTCAATCAGATTTATGATTTAATCAGAAATTACTTTTCATTTTATTGTTATACAAGAGTTATTTTATTACATTATTTTATTTTGCATATAAATAAAATCTTATCAAAATTAATGCTTTCTTTTCTTAATGTAATTGCTATTTAACAGTTTATTACAGAACTAATGTCTTAAATTTCCAAGTTCATTTCTCACTGGCTGCCTACTAAACATAAATTCATAGAATAGTATGGAATGTATAACATTTTAAATTGCATGTTGAACTTCTTTAATACTTTACAAATTAGGATTTAACCAAATGCGTAACATTAACGATATTTTTAAATGGAAAAGAAAAATAGTAAATCACTTACTTGACAAGTTCTGAGAGAACATGTTCTGGTAATAGACAGACCTGAAAAATACAATTGAAAAATTAACTTAGTGCAGTCTAATAAAAAGGGCAGTGGTGAGAAAAAGGGAAAAAAATTTGAACTGCCCCACTCTCTGTATGTGAAAGACTCTGAAAATCAATAAACTTACCACATTAGACACCTTGCTTAGTCCCATAGTCAATCCCATAGAAGAGATCATCAGTGTGATAGTCTCTCTCAGAAAAGTTATATTTGGTGTTACCCATGTTCTATGCAACTAATTTACCCATTAACTTAACTGATCTTATCCAACAAGAGACATACACACATACATACATATATATGAAAAGTCCCCCTTCAATAAATATGTAACTTATACCAAAAACCATGGTGTTCTTTACTAAAGGCCAAGTTATAATGCAACTCATGCCAAGAACTGGAGGCCTATCTTATATAACATCTTTTCACTGGGAACAAAGATCTTTCATTTTGATTTGCAGTAGTTCACTGCTGTAGTTGGCTTAATTTTTTTTTTTTTTTTACATTAAAAATAATATTAACTTTATTTATTTTATTTCCTTTTGAGTGACTATATTTTTGCATATCTGTATTTCTTTTAACAAATTATTTTTATGCTGAATTTTCAGCATGCTTCTTATAGCGAAATATAACATTTTAATTTTACTTGATTTAAAAAAAAAAAAAAAAAAATTATTAATCTTACTTTTTTTAATCTTTCTTATTATAAAATGTTACAAAATTCCTCTGAATTTTAATGTTATGTTTAACTTTTAAGATTTTCTTCTGAAGACATTCGTTTTTCACAATGCAAAAATTTAAAAATGCTATCATTTATTGCAAAGTTAATATTTTTCTCTATATGATATATACAACAAATAAAATTTCATTTTTTTATGAGTAATTTGTGTTTTTATTTTCTTTTAAAAAATATTTTCAAAAACTATGTTGAATTTTTGTTTAGTTTACTGTTAAGCTTAAAATAGGAGCAAATGTGATATTTTGTACCACAGAATGAAAAATCAGTTAAGAATGTAAAGTTCACAATGGCAAAACAAATAGATTCAAAGCTCCTTCAGAGGTTTTAAGCAAAAACATCACTTCACCTAAGTTAAAACCCCCACCACAACAATTCAAATTTAGCCACACATACTTTTGGCTTTTTCCAAAGCTAAAATTATCAAAATAATGTGAACAAGTTTAAAGAGAACTCAAGAGGTAGATTATGACAATCCTAAAAGAGGTAATATGTAATTTGCATAATAATTTTTTAAAGAAATATCTCATCTGTATTATTTTTTATTCAAATTTTAAAAATTGCCATATATAATTTATTTCTGCTGATAATATTTTTTTTTAAATTCATTGTGTTTGTATAATAGAATATATGTCTGCCTTGTCAAAATTCAGCCATAAGTTAGAAAAAACCTACAGCAATTGTAAACATGACATTTCACATTACTAGAAATTAGCTGTATGGTGCCAAAAAATAGTTATGGAATTATCTAAAGCCAAAATAATCTAATTAGATTTTCTAAAAAAAAAAAAAAAAAAAAAAAAAAAAAAAATTTACCAAATTATTTAAAATGAGTAAGTTTGCTGAATTATTATTAATAGTAATATAAACATTATGAAATTATTTAAATGGTCAGATCTTGATAAACATGTTTATACAGAATTTTTAGAAAAGTAAGAGAATTTCTATGACAACTTTTTATGTAGGACTGTTATCTGGCTAATTATACAAAAAGGCATATTCAGGAATCATTATTTCATGATATATACATAACAGACTCCACTTTCATTTTCACATATAATTACAGCAACAGAAACAAAAGAGTTTCTCACCCTCTCCATTGTTTCCTCAAAATAGGAAAGATAGTAGATACACAAAGAAACCCCTGTGGCAGCTATGGAGGGACGGTGTACTTCTAGAAGTCTCTGGACACCATCTGAATTCAAAAATTTGGTGGCAAACTTCTTGTGGCATATCAGTGTGGCAAGATACTAAAAAAAAAAAAAAAAAAAAAAAAAAAAAAAGCTTGTAAGAACAATGCATTGATTTGTGAAAACTTGAAGCAATCTCAAATTATTATTTAAGATCAATAATTTCCTGTCAGTCACAACTTTAAGGCTGTGTGTGCAGGCAAACGGGAATGAATAAATTAAATAAGAAAAAATAAATTTTTTTTTTTTTTTTTTGATCGATTGGTTTGTTTTCTATAGCTTATCAACTTTTTGCAGGTTATTTGAAGCCAAAAAGTATTTTTAGATTGTAAGAAATTTTTGGGAATAATAATGATTTACTGATAAAAGTTCTAATTAATCCATAGTCGTGCGGACAGAAGAGGTAGATTCATAATATTCCCAAGAGTATTTGCATGTAAGTGAATATAACAAAGCCAACTGGAATTGGAACTCAGCTCTCCAATTTCAAGCCATTATCTATTTCACCATCCACACATCCAAGCTTACAGCACCTGTTATTCCCAAGCGGCTTCTCATCTCAAAACTGACCAGCCTCAATATTGCTTAAGTTCAGTGATCATACAAGAACCAGTGTTTCAACATGATTTAGCCCTAAGCCAAAAACTATCACTTACGTGAGGTTCTATACTGTAAGAGCAGTCTTTCAGATCATTACTAATATAGTGAGTGATCTTCAAAAAGTGCTCCATATCTATAGCCTCATGCCAAACAATGTTACTTTTAATAAACATATTTAGCAGTTTCATTCTCAATTGCTTGCTGAAATCAATTTCTTGTTTTTAGTATTACTTGATTACTTGGCTATACAGTGCTATCATTTTTTTTTTTTTTTCATTGAGGAGAATTTTGAAAATAAATAATAAAATACACTGCATAACTAAATTTTACCAAAGTTCTGTCTGAAAGGAAAGAGAAAACTTATTAAACCTCAAACTTATTATTAATTCACTATAATCCCTAGCTAGAAATTACACAAAATGATAATGAATTATCGAGATTATTGAACATTTTGAGAGGGAAAGCTTAAACGTGGCTATGGTAAGCTCATGGTGAAATTCATATTTCTCAGTCTTTTTTTTTTTGGTATGGATATTGCAAGAAAAACAAAAGTAAACTTATTGTTATTTCTTCTTGATCTTAGAATCAATCTGATAAAAAAAATTCCTTACTTTTAATGCTTCAAATGCCAATCGAACATCTTTGTTTTCTTTTAAATTGATGTAATGCATAATCAAATCAATAGCATTGAACTGAAAAGCAATTCCAAGTAACTGAAATAGAAAATGAGAATTAAAATAAAATAAAAATAAATAAACCATCATTTTGTCTTAGAGTAGTACAACAAAAAAATTGAAAAACAAAAATTTAGATCCTTATAAAGGATTTCTGGTCAAACCATCTATATAAACCTTAACAACAAAAATGAAATAATTGTAGTGTCAAATTCACATTCAGTCAGATCTATATCTATTGACTAAGAAATTTTGTCTGAATAAAATCTAAACTATTAAATTAATACACAAATTAAGGAACAAAATTCTTCCTGAAAAATTTTATACTTGAAAATGTTAACAATACAGATACAGATCTTGAAAAATACTATTGCATATCTCCACACAAAAAGGGTTTGTTTATGATATATGCAACATCCTCAGTTCTGTATTCAGGCACATTCCACTGTATGTATAGATGTGAATATGACTGTAGAATGTATTAAATAAACTTGCCTAATCCTAGAACAAATTGTGCTGGATATTATCTATGAATTAATAAGATACTAATTTACCAAAGCTGCCAAAAATTGATGGCAGTAGTAAAATAATTTTTCAATTGCATTGTAGTTAAAAACAACTTTGTTCTGCATTTTCATATTAAACTACATTAAACAATTGATCAAATTTAAGATGACAATTGATCCTTTTGTCTTATCCTTTTATAATAAATGAATAGAAAAACTAAATTAAATATATATATATATATATATATATATATATATATATATAGAGAGAGAGATAGAAAGGTATAGAGATATAGAAAGAGAGAGAGGCTTATTATATCTACATACAATGAAAAGCATATATGGACAATGAAATTCGATAAAATAATACATTGTATATTAGGCAAAATAAAAGTCTTTTCTCAATGAAAGGTAAAATAAAATTTTTTTGTAAAGAAAGGACACATATGCATCCAAAAATTCTGATTTGTAACACTTTTCTCATAATGCTTTTATTTTGTCATTATTATTACTATTATTATCTTTTTGGAATCTTTTATCAGCTTACTACATACATTTCCTTTAACAATATTTCCAGTATAAACATATGGCAATAAAACACCTTCAGCATCTACAATTTTTAAGTACAAAATAAAAAACAGAAAATTCTATTTTTATTGTCAGAGTGCAACACAGATCAGCCACCTGCTTAATTATCAAGTTTAAATTGAAATGACATTCTATTCATACAACACAAAAAAAAAAAAAAAAAGTTCAATATATAGGGAAGGGCAACAAAGTATTGTCATTCCAGAAAGAACTTTTCTATCTTCCATGTTTGTGTGTGCATGTGTGTCTATAATAGAGAAATTTGGAAACTGGCCTCATTCAATCTCAAGAGATTGAAAAAAAAAAAAAAAAAAGAAAAAAAGAAACTACTGATGGTGGAAGGAAGATGAAATTAAGGGAAGTGGAGGATCAACTAACCTCTTGATATTCACCCATGGGTATGAGATAATGAAGAATTAGACGTTGCTTCATGGAAGCACTCATTGGATCCATACAATAAGAACCAATTACATATGGTGCCATCTCTGACCAACTGCTGTTACTGGACTCTGGAAAAGAAAAAAAAGTCATGTTAGACTAAAGATTTGTCAAAATTATTTTTAGTTTTAATTTCATATTATAATAAAACATTTATTAACCAGTTGGCAGTATTTTGAAATTTAATAATGTCAATGACTATTCAATTGTAATTTAATCATTATTCATTGTAATTTAATAATGTTAAATGTTTATTCAAAAGTTCAATCTTTCCTATAAAATATGTTAAACAGGAAGCTTAATCGATTAGGCAATATTTAAGGTGTGTCAAGGCCAACTAGTACTATATGGGCCCCCACATGTCACATAACAGGCTGATGTAATAATATAAACATAAAAAAAAATGTGAATGACCGCTTAGAAAATTGCTAATCTAAAAGGGAGGTAACTTTAAAAAGTGAATTCTTACAACATAAATTAACAATGTACAATTATGTGGAAATTCAGATGCTATTTCAATTCCCTAGACAGGTTTTCAAGACTAAAATGCATATTTTTGTGGGCCGTGGGTGTGTGCGCAAACTCACAAGGGGAAGTAACTAAGCACAGATATATAGATGCACAGATCACCAAAGTCCTTTCAGCTGTTTCTGTGATGAATAGAAATTAAACCAAAAAAGAAAATAAATAAAATGCAAACTTTTTTTTTTCTATTTTCATTATTACTATTATATTATATAATATAAACAATTTTCAAAAATAGTTTCAAAATTAACTTGTAGTCATAAAAGACACTTAGTAGAATAGACAAATAGAGTTCAAAAATAAATTTTTAAAATATGACTAATTTTGTAATAATAATTGCTCAATTTATATATCCCAAATAGTATATATTACCAAGTCCTATTTAATTTCATCGTTTTTTTTTTGTTTTTTTTTTATTTAATTATATTTTTTCTTCTCTGACCTACAAGATTCTAAAATACCTTTTTACATTACTCAAAATTTAATTTCACTTTGCCCTCTTAAAATTTTCTTTATATTATTTCTCAGGAAAGTGGTAATTTTAAAATAATTTAAAAAAAAAAAAAATGTAATCAGTCAGTTTGGAGATGGCATATTTTAATCTAAACTATTAAAAGAAAATAACTAAAATGTTATTAAAACCAACTTGTTTGTTACTGGATACTGAAAAGATTTCACACAAAATCCCCACGTTTGAAATGAAATTAAGTGAATTCTCTATTTGGTCATTATCAGTTAGCGACAATCTAAGACAAATGTTGCAGGGTATTAAATGTAAAAAAAGTAATCACATGAGATTAAATCATGCGTGCCACTAAAGTGGTTTTTATGGCAGACAAGCTTGTATGGTTAAGTTACCAGAACAACACTAACCATCTCAATTCCATATACATGCCTTTTATATACCTTTTATCAAGTAGATATTTTCACTCAATAATTTAAAGAGGATTTCCCATATATATTTTAATTTCTTTTATTTGGTTATACTGACATTATATTTTTTTTTTCTCTTCTCACCCATCAACCAAAACTCACAAGTTTATGAAACAATTACCAGAGACACCATTAGAATACTTTGTAAATCTGTTTAACAATATATGGATAAGCAGATATATGGAGACTTTTAGAGTCTGCTAATCAGATAAGCCACTTGACTTCTTGAAAATTATATAATGAAATCATTAATTCATTCAAAACTGGATTATGGTTGCTTTATTTAATGATCAGCTAGAAAATTTTATTTGAAAAACCATCAATGCAAACCACCACAAAGGTTTGAAACATGTACGGCTTTTAAAACTAGTGGGGACTCTATAAACGTTTCTGTTTATAGACTATGAAGCACCCCTAAAACACATAAAAAATTATCACTATAATACTATATAAAACTCAAAAAATATACCCATCTCAATAACTCCCCTTGATCATGATTAAATCTTAATATAAGTATCTACCAAAAGAAAATATATATATATATATATATATATATATAATAAAGCTTTTTGGTCTTTGAATGGAATCCATCATTAAAAGAATCACTTGTAAACATTACATAATAACATTGTATCAAATATCCACCCCACCTTTTTTACAGCTAGCTGCAAAGATAATGGTAGAACTGAATGTGAAGTCACTTTCTATAAAACAATTTTCAAGAAATGGTTCTAAAAGACAGATTTATTTTAAGTACAATACTTGTGCAATAAATTTGGCATTCAATATCATTTCATAGATCAACTTGAAAAGATTTATCATCTTGGATTCCCTTTGGGTGAACAAAGGAAAGTGTGCTTTAATTGTTAATGTTCTAAGCAGGCTGAACTTCATGTGCAAGTCAAGAATGACATGTTGGGTCCCAAGCCATACAAGAATTAAGAAAAATGACAAACCCAACTCTCGAAAGGGCTGTAAATGGTGGGTACAGACCAACTAGAGAACTGTGAAACACAAACCCGGATTTTCTGGTTGGTTTATGGTCCTATATACTAACCTGGGGACAAACTCCAAAGAAAAAAAAAATAGCCAAGTGTTTTTAAAGTGGAAATGAGAGAGTAGTGAAGAAGGCCCCAAGAAGAACAAGTCACTTTATCATGAATATGTATCAGAAGCATTTTTATATTCACATAGAAGTAGCCAGAATGTGCTGCATGCCAGGTACTGTATACAGTGAAGCACTTCTTTGATTAGGTGTGGCAATCTCACTCTCACTAGACTGCAATTTTATAGTGAGAGCAGTTTAAGGGACCCATTCAAAAACTGTGGATAACCTATTATCCTTCATATGGAATGGGTGTATATGCCAAAATATGGGGGGGATCTGATTAGACATTTGTTATTTGAAAATTATTAACACCAGATTTATATAAAACATTGAAAAGCTATGCAAATAATTTTTATGGTAATTATAAAACAAAAAAAAATTCATTCAGGATATACTATTAAAACCCATGTAATTTGCACACATGTATAATTTTCACAGGTGATTTTCAGGATAAAATTTGTTAAAAAAAAAAAAAAAAAAAAAAGCTTCTACTCATCTAAAATTCACACCCCAAAATTTTCAGAATTGCCGATATAGCCAGGAGGAAGAGATTTTCAATTTAGTTGTATTCACCATAATTTCACTTATTTACAATTAGATTTTATTAAATAAAAATATTTTCTGTTTAACAGGTAAGTATCAGATTAAAAGCTATTAGATTATATGACCCGGATTATTTTCACATGTAGAAGTCAAGATTGTGATTGTCAACAATTTACATCCTCAACAATTTTGCTGATTTCACAACAAAACAGACAATAGTAAAACAATACAGTCAAAATTATCCATATCATTAGATTTTTTTTTCCAGTCAAGACTATCCATATCACTATGTATGTAAATGGTGTTCCATTGCAATAGGTAGAAACTCCAAGCAATGTAAAATATGAACTGGATTGTAATTAGCAGCATGGAGATCAAACTTCAAAATGTATTTAATCATTTAATGGTTTTAGTAAATTTATACAGAAAAAGTAAACATTAAACCATCCTAAATAAATAAAAGTCAATTTCATTACATTTAAGACCTTATTTTTTCTATATAAACTTATTCCAACATTAAATGGGTCAACTTTCGGTACAAATATTTACATTTTGTACATTTTTTTCTCAACAAGAAGGAAAAAAAAAATAAAAAAAATGGAAATGATCTACTCGTGTAAATTACGCCCACCCTAAAGTTTTTGCGAAAAAACGTGAATTACATGGGTTTTTACAGTAATTAAAAAAAAAAATTTTGAGAGAGAGAAAGAAGACAGGAAAAAGAAAAGGAAAAGAAACCAAATTTAAACCTTGAATAAACCAGCAAGGTCTTACATACAAACTGAACCAATCTAACTTCAATTGAACATCAATATTCATTCTGTAGTAATTATTAAAACCACAATGAGCATCCTGCAAAATAGATTGTCCTTTTGTCACTTCTAACAAAGAATATTCTTATACAACATTAACAAATGATAACAGTGTAATATGAATTTTTTTTTTTTTTTTACAATCACTGGTCAGCAATTATAAGTACTAAATATTTTAAGATAAACAAGGTAATAACTTTTGAATTGGATCAGAGTAGAGGAAGTAACAGACAAAATTCTCCATACCTTCCTTTTGGGGACAGAATTCTCTGCGGTTGACAATGCTTCGACTCAACAAAGTTGCATTTGGTTTCAGAATACCATCATTGGCTTCACAAGAATTTTCACAAATACGAAGTTTTTTCTGTTCATTGGCCGAATTATCCGATGCCCCCAAACTGTATTTCCTCTTGATATCTGAGGTAGACATGGAGCCAGTAGTAGCAGTCGTTGGAGAGGTAGTCATAGAAGAGCAAAGAGTACTCTTCACACTGGGAAGGAGGGAGGTAATGGAACCAGAACTTGTAGTTGGAGAAGTGGTAGGTACAGAGGAGAGAAGCTCAGCTAGCAGTGAATTATCAGGTTTCTTAGCAAACATGTGGAAATAAGATTTTTCTTTTTCTGTCCCCTTATCAACCTTGACTAGATCATCACTTGCTGATTCTAATCCCAATTTATGCAATTTGGTCAAAAGTTGGGCAACCTGGATTGGAAAAAGCCAAAAATAAATAAATAAATAAATAAAAATAAATAAATAACAGATAAATAACTCCATGGAGTTTACAAATGTACAAAGACCTTATAAACTTGTCAATTAATAAAAAAAGGAAAGAAAAATGATAAAAAACTCAAAAGATCCTACAAAATTATGAAACTCATAAATATAATCACATTAATATATACAAACAAATATCAGGCATAATTGTAAAGAAGAAGCCAAATCCAGAGATCTACTAATGTCAGGAGATTAGTCATCAAAGAACACCACATAAGTAGACTTGTTTAATAAATATGAAAATTAAAACTTTTTATAACAATCCATAAACCAGCTTATTATATAATTCATTTTAATAAAAACACAAGCTCAATTACCTTAATTCATATATATATATATATATATATATATATATATATATACACACACACACACACACACACATTATGGGGTGCTCTGTAAAAAAGTGACAAATTTATTCTTTGAGAAAATACACCACCAGCTCTAATTGGTCATCTCAGTGGACCTCTAAAAGCCCAGATCTAAATACTATGGACTACTGAATCTGGAGTATACTCCTAACTCACTTGCAAAACTGTTGTTGTGATATCATCAATTCATTGAAGCTTAGAATGAAATTCTTCTTGGAAGTATTCACAAATCTACTGCCTCCTGGTTACCACGCTTACAACTTTTGTGTTGAATGAGTGATGATTGTTCAATTTGTGCATGAATCATGATAGCTAAATAAATATCTTTCTGGTCTGTACACACACACACATATATATATATATATATATATATATATATTTATGCAGCAATTCTTCTTTTACATATGTTTCATTAAAGATGATAGACAAGGTACTATGATTAAGCTTTTTATTTAATTTTTCTTGTGTTCAAACAAGTGTTTTCTTTTTGTACACAGAGTGTATAGAAACTATCCAAATGTTCTAGAATTCTGAGAGCTTTCAGCTATACTTTTAGCCATTATCAAAGATGATTTTATTTTTTTTTAATTTAATTGGGTGTGTGGGTTGTGTCTATGTTTTTAGTGTTATAGAGATGTTTTATTTTCCGAACACAGCACATTATGTTCGTAGTTAATATTACTAAGTGTTAGCTTTTTCTTTTTTTATTATTAAGGCTTCCATGATTTTTAATCTTTTTTTTTTATTATTTTTTTTTTTTACATGTGGATGTAGTTATTATATTTGTATTTTCTACTAGTATGTTTTGGATGGAATTTGGTAAGTTCGTGGTCAGATAGGTGTAACAAAGCATCTGGATAGGTATGTTGTCGTGTGGCCAATGTAATTATTTATGAATTCAGTTTGATCAGGAACAGTTTCTTAAAAGGCATTTGAACTCATAGACAACATTTATTCGTTATAATTCTGATTTTGCTGGTGTGTTGTTATTTTTGAGGATAAGCTTAGCTGTTTTAAATTTTTTTGTAGTAGATAATTTGAATTTTTTTTATTTGAGTCAATTGGGGTAGTGTGTTTCTTTATATTTCTAAGTGAAGATTCATCTTGTTTGTAGTTAATGTGCATTTGATTTTTGTAGAAAATATTTGTTATTTTTGACTGTGTCCACTATTGTTGTTATTTACTTTGGGGAGAAATAGTCTAATTTGGTGGTCTATAAGGTGGTTAGGGAAGCCATTGTTCATCAGTATCTGTTTTACATTATTGAGTTCTTTAAGGAAGAGTAGACAAGAGGAATTCTGGTGTGCTCTTTTTAGGAAGTTTTTATCACTGCTATTTTGTATCTGAATGGACATTCACTTTTAAAGTTAAAATGGCAAGAATTTCTGCTAGTGGGCTTTTTATATAATGAGATGATAAAAGTGTTGTTACTATATTCTACAAGAAAGTCAAAAAAAATAAACTCCCATTCTTAGACAAAGTTCGTAGGTAAAGTTAAGGACAGAGTTTTTTTCAAATGTGGTCTTAAGTGTCTCTATTTCTTTAATGTTATTTGCTAAAATAAAAATATCTATGTAGCAGACATATATTTTAGGTTTAAAGACATACTTAAATATCATTTTCTATATGGGACATGTAATAATTGGAAAAGCATGGGTTGAGTGAATTTCCCATACTAACACCATTAGTTTGGGTGTAAACATTGCCATTATGGTCATAGAATGGTACTTTCGA